GTCCGGCTCTCTTTGTGTTTTGATGCTCAATTAGTCTCTGATGTTTATATTCTCTTATGGTTTTCCCCACAGACACATACACGTGCACATATAAAGGTTTTAAATGTGAATTTTATGTGCAGTATTTAAATGTAATAATGTACATCAGATTTAGTAAACGAAGTGTGCTCCATTCTGATGTCTTCACCCAATCTCTTTCTCTATTCTAGGAGTGTCAAGAGTTTATAATGCTCCTCCCTCCCTCCCTCCCTCCCTCCCTCCCTCCCTCCCTCCCTCCCTCCCTTCCTTCCTTTACACAACTCATTTATAAGAAGTTTATTCTAATGTAATTACGTATGTTAATTAATAATCTCCACTGAAATTACACTCACAACCTTTTCCTCCCTGTCTTTAGATATCAGAATCAGTGGAAATCTGCCTTTTGGAGCTAATAGGATTCTAGGTTACTGCTGGACCCTAAATTTAACCTATAAGCACCACCTGCCCAAAAAACAGATAAATTCCTGAATTCTGGGAGTTGTCATTCTTATAAAATAACAACAAAACCATATGGGAAAGTATGGTGGCCTATGAGTTCTGTCCATACAAGCCCTGACAACCTGTGTCTCAGGGCACTTAGCTGGGAAGTCCCCAGTAGTGGTCCTGACCAAGTCCCATCTTGGTAGGCATATAATCTTTTAATTAAATAGCTTGCTTTAACTTGTCAAAATGGTAGAATTGGTTTTTCTCCAGTGAATCTCAGGATTAACAGCTACAATTCTTTGATTTATAGTAACAAGATTTAAAGTTCGGTTGCCTTTCTCTTTGATGAAAAGGGGGAAGAGAAATACAGAGCTGTAGTCACCAACCATATGGGGCAACTTCTTCTGCATTTTTACAAGATTATTAGGCGTTCATACCCAAGTTACATCTTTAAACTGAACGGTTAAGGAAACTGGAGAACAGAGGCAGAACAAACCATCAGGCATGGGAGGACTTAGGAAGCCATTGGGACTTGTTACCTGGAATGTTCGCCGATCGTATGGGGAGGCACAGAGGAATGAAGTGCTCATGTTGACAAACTTCTTGAAGAAAATCAAACTTATACTGGCATAAAGTCTGAAACAGAGGCAAACAGAATGGCTATTGTTTGCATATCAAGAATGTTCATAAACATAAGCGAAAAAGGTGTGTGCTTCAATTGGACCCTTACAAAGAAAAAATAGATAGTTTTCTATGACCACCAAGTAGTTCTTTGGTGGGGAGGAGGCTGCTTTCTCAGAAGTGCTTCTTGTGGCTACGCTCCTGATCTTGGTACACTGCTCAAGGCCACCTCAGGAAAGGAGACCAATTGTATCCCACATTCAGTTTCTATGAGAGAAAACCCCAACTCACGCATTTAGCTTATTTTATTTTTTTTTTGTTGTTGTGAATGCAACTTTTATTTACACGCTGTATCTAGAAGCAGATACATACATTTTTATACATTTGGTTTCCAAAAAATATGCAAGAAATTACTATAATTTGACTACAAACCAAAACGCATATTAAATCAATGGACTTTGGATAGTTCATTCTGGGGTGTTCTCAGTACAGATGGTACACACCTGATTTGAAACGTAAAAAGTGTAAACTACAGCAATCTGGACTGCAGGTATTAATATTATAGCTCATCAACTATGAGACTTCTTTACCCGATGTGAATACATACTGTTAGGAAATTCTAAGACCTCCTCATTCTCTCTCGTTGGAGAATTTGGATCACTTTTCAAAAGAAGTACATGCACAGCACATCCATACAAAGTACGTGATGTACATACAAAGTACAATGAATGTAATATGTATGTACATGCAAAGTGCATACATACAAAGTACAAAGTGTCCTTTGAAATCCAGCACAATGAAATCCAGAAATTGTTAGGAAATCCTTTGGAAATATAACCCTGGGACATCTAAAATAAACATGTATTAATAATACATTATCTAATAAAGTTAGATCAAGAGAATATAAACAACTTAAATATCCATAACAGTCAATGAGACTATCATAGTCATAAGAAGCCTGTCAACAAAGGAAAGTCCCAAACCACATAGTATAGAGCTTATTCTATGACTTGCTAGGCCAGTGTGTCAGCTAGATACACACAGAGACCCCTCAGTTAGTTATTGTGCTGGACTTGGCAAACCTTTCCTTCCGTCCCTGGTTGGGCCTTACCTTGAACTCCCCAGAGGAGAACATGCTGATGTAACTGTTCACCATCTTAAACACAAATCCCCGGTCCATGAACGTAAAGCAGCGCTGAGAAGACAAAATTCCAAAGTCAAATCTTTTTGCTTGAGAGATCTTAGAAAAGATGATTATATATTGAAGCAGAGTAATATTTAATTAAGCGTGCCATGTGTCTTTTAAAAAAATCTATAAAGGACGTCAGGACACCCATCTGCATTTAACAACTAATTAAACTTCCACAGATAGTATAAACACCTGAAATTCTAAATGCGCACCTACTGGCTGTTTAAAATATTGCTTGGAATTTTGCAGAGAGATCTTTTAGACTTTCTCTTTCATATAGAAAGTTGTCTGCTTTGTAATTGTTTGATTACATTTTATTATGATTTTTAGTACATTGATTCTGGAGTTGTTTGGGTGGAGACCATCTGCTATCCACCCTGGGCGGGATGGAAAGTGGTAAAGGGACTAGCAGTCTTCATTCTTGTTCCTTCAACAGGAACTGTTCTCTATTTCATCCAGGGAAGCACACATTTGAAGAAAAGAGAAGATCCTGCCATTTCAATCAGGGAACTGTTTGTATCTTGCTTAGTCTGCTGTCAGATTTTCCCAATCTAGCCAGGAAGATCTTAGGTCAAATTTACAATAGGCACATTGATGATTATGGAATATTTCCTTCATTCAGCATTGGGCAAAGCAGCTGTTTTTGCCAGTCCCCTTTTCACTCTGGACTCTGATCCTTCAGCTTGGTGTTAGGAACTGGCTTAAGGTGAGCAGTAAAAAGATTGTGCGGGAACATTCTTTTATTCCCCAAGTACAGGTTATCTAGCCAAACAGATTAGATAGGAAGACATTCCCTTGTAGAAATAGGCTTAGCTACCCCCTTTTTTTGTTTAGAATATTTTAAAACACATTTATTAAGATCTCATGTCCACTTCCTCATATATCAAACATTTTCAAATGGATTTCAAAAGCTAGTTGAAATAAAACAAGGGTCAGTCAGATGAAGAGGCAGGACAAGGACGTTGAAGAGGAAAAGCAACTCTTGACTTGACTATGTTACCATAGTGTCAAGGAGCACTTGACCAGGGGTGTGCCAGAAAGAGCTGAGACCCATTTTGTTAGGAAAAGAAAAAGAATAAAGAGAAAAAGAGAAAGCAGAAGAGCTGTACAGGTTCCTGTGATGCGGATCCACGCGAGATTCATCTGCTTTAAGGAGAGAACAATAAAAACACACCAGATTTTGGCACAACATTGTAAAAATGGTCTGTGTCATGACGGAGGTTGAGGGAGGATACCTGGAAACACAGAGCATGTTTATACCCTCGTGGTGCTTCCAGAGAATCTGTTCTCTTGCTGCTTGGAAAAGAAGTAGTAAAATTACGGCATTATAAACTTCCCACCATTAGATTCCAATGACTCATAGTATTTATGGCTTAGATCAGGAATGCCGCACCCCACCCCAAGCTCAGGTTTTGAGCACTCAGTCCTCAGGATGTCTTGTTATTTTGAAGGCTGTGGACCTGAGGTTTGGCTAGTGGGAGCTGCTAGAGGTAAAACTCTGAAAGTTCTACCCCCACCTTCCTTCTCTTTCCTTGTGTCATGTGAACAAGCTGTCACCCACTTCTGACACCAGAGCACAGTAATTCTACTTTGTCTTCCCTAGGAAGACGGACTGTGACACTCTGAATCCAGGAGTCAACAAATCGCTCCTTAAATTGCTTCTGTCAAGTATTTTATGACAGCTAGGAGGATTATTTTACTATTGACCACCGATGACGACTTATACAACCAACGGTGGGAAACATGGCTGTTATTAACAGATTGCAGGCAGGAGTACAGAGATTTATAATGCAATGCCAAGAGGGCAATGCTGGGTGAGAGAGCTCAGGGCTCCTCAGTTCCTGGAACTGGACCAAATCAAGACTTTCAATTTTACATTTTCCAAGTCTGGTTTTCTTTCCTTTTCTTTGTCTCTGCTAATAATCATCCCCAAAGAATATCTTCTCTTCTGTGTCAATAAATTCCATTAAATTAGAAGTATGTGTGCATGATGGACATTTGTGATACAAAACAATGTTTCCATTCACAGACTGTGTGTGTGTGTGTGTGTGTGTGTGTGTGAAGATCATCCTGGATTTATTGTTGCTGCTATTATTAGCTATATGTGTGTATTGTCAAACTATGCTTTCTCACCATTACCATTTGCTTTTTCATCTTGGACATTTTCCATTGCCTCCACAGGAGGTTATTCATAGACAGCAATAGCCTTTGTAAAAACACACTACAAATGAATAGCTGTCTTTCTGAACAAGCACCAAGCATCTAAGCCAAGAGGAGTATATATGGAGTCTTCTACCTCTCTTAGAAAATTGCTTAGTCATCTTTTTTCTTTTGGTTTAGGGAAGAATATTACAGATGTTTTCTTGGCACGGACGGCGGCGGGCGGAACCGACGCACGGCGGGCGACGCAGCTGGCGCGGGCCGGACCGGCAGGTACTGACACAGTGGCAGGCAATGCCGGCGGCAGGGACCAGCGCAACACTGAGAGCAGATCGCCCCAGGACAATTAAATCAAAGAGGTAGGCCTTTGGTTGGCGAGGTCCCTGGCAAACAGGGAACCTGGTTCTTTTCCTGAAGACCCTTCTGAGGGGTGAGAGGGATCTTGGCCCCTGGCAGAAGCCAGGAAACAGAACGAGGGCATTTTGCAAGAGGAGCCTCTGGCCAGCAGGGAAACCTGATCTGGTTTTAAAAGACCAATTAGAGAGCAACAATAGGAGGAGATGGGCAGGCGCCAAGGCAAAAATTCACCCAATAATCTGAAAAACAACATGAAAGCACCAGAACCCAATGATCTTACAACAGAAGGTCTTGAGTACCCTAACACACAGAAGAAGTGGAAAAAATCGACTTTATGAAAGCAATAGAGTCCCTTAAACAATATGTAACAAACACCTTTATAGAAATGGATGAGAAGTATAACAAAAAGTTTGAAGAATTGAGTAAATACGTACATGAGACCCACAAACAGGTTCAAGAATTGAAAACTGAAATGGAAGCAAGGAAGAAAATACAGATGTTTTCTTAAATGTATTTTGCATTCAAGTTGGACTGTATATAAATTTGTTCATCAAATTTTCTATTCTGTCTAGGGTTTCCAGTATGCTACCAGCATAGTGGAACATTTTATTCTCATGGGCCTTAAAGTGTAGTAGAAAATGAAGTCCCTTTTAATACAGACCATCCTTTTCTTCTCCTTGAAAGGAAAAATTTTTAAGGGAGAGAAGTAGTTGAGTATAGGTGCAGTGAAAGTAGAGATGGGAAATTGGGGGCAGAAGGATGTAAGGAGATAGCAGTTTGATGGGACTGGGGACATCAGAGGCCAGAGGAAAGTTTAACCAGAATGAAGTGTGCATGAAGAAGCTTTCTTGGAAACCTGTGATTTTGCAACCCAAGTAAAAAATATAAGAGGAGGTAAGAGAGCACATGTGATATGAAAGATTGAGGGAGGAATTCTGGGAGCTAAAGGTTTAAGTGAGGATGGGGGCAGTGGGGTGAAGGGAAAGAGGGTTGTGGGTGGGTTGATTGAAGGTAAGGGGGTCTGAAAAAGCCTTAGGAATTACTGCTCGTTTGTGAACTAATTAGATTATAATTTGAAATAATTAAAAACAGCTTCATACTCAAATCGATCATTTTTCTATGAATAACTCAACATTTTCAACAGGCTAAAGAAAGCCAGAGGCCACATAAGAAGAGTCACACTTCAAGAGTGACTCTTTGGTGTTGTTATCTCATCAGCGACTGATCTAAAATGTCACGTCACAGACAGAAATTCTCAAGAGATGACATCACTACTCCTTTCCACATCTCCTCTTGCTGTTTAAAATCATTTAGGAGCACCATGACCTGATAACATTTGCACATTTTAATCCAACCTTTATTTTTCTTTAACGATGAAAATGAAAACAGATGTCAAGAGGCGAAATGTGGAAGTGGAAGTGTTCATCTCGCTGTGCGAGACTTCATCATAAACAGAGATAAGCTAATGGCATCCAGCATGCCTTGCAACCACAGTCAAGGGGACCTGGACAGAGCTGGGGTCTCACAGAACTGTACCTTAAGGAATCTGGCGACGCTATGGTTCGCCCGTTTTGTTTCCTCTGGGGCTTCCTTGTATTTCCAAATCACGTGGTCACACAGGCCCATCACCAGATTGTCTAGTTCACTTTGGTAAGGCTCTGAGAATCTTTGAGCTCTGGGAAGCTAAGGAAAGAATGTCACATTCATCATGGGTTATGTGACTTACCAAGCCGGGACAAGCAAACTGAAAGACTTACCTTATTTTATAGAAAGGCAAATCAAAGCAGCTCTTGGACAACTTGAAAGCAGTAAGCAGTAATAAAACTTAAAAGTCTTTTAAGTTTCAAGATCATAATTCTACTGTTTTTATTAAATGTTCCATTCAAGCTTGACTGGTAAATTTATACTGTTTCATTAAAAACTATTAATCTCAAATACTCAAGCAACATGTGCAAGGCAAAATGTGAATAATTTTATACACTCATATATTCATTCCCTTCTCTTGCCTCCCAAGAAATTGCTATTAAACATTAAATAAAACATATTAATTTTAAAGTGAGTATTATTTCAAAATAATTTTTAGTCAGACAACTCCATTTATCTCAATTTAGAATAATTTAAAAAAATACAGGAATCTTCTCAAAAAAATTATGAGTACTCAGCTTTAAAAGAGACATCTATAGCAAGGCTCTCTCCCCATCCAAGCTAACATCACAAAAGAGAGGGTGGAAAGAATTTAAACCATGGGAGATTGGGAAAGGTGTTGTGAAATGTTGTCTTAAAATATGACATTGCTACGGCTACTGTGGTCACACAATGGGCATAGAAACCTGTACAAGGTTAGACCCTTCAGATTTCAGTCATGGAGACAGGAAGTGCCCACAATGCCCTAAGGAGAGAACGACTGTTAGTGGATGCTACAGAAGGGATGTAACTTTGTCTGATATTGTAGCCTATGAAAGACTAGATGAGAAGAAAAAGGGGAAAGTAAGGGAAATAAGAGAGGGTAATGGGAGTGGTGAATATCATCACAATATATCATATATATGTATGGAGTTGTCAAAATGTAAAGAAATATGATGCTAATGAATATCCAGGGGCTGTCTCAGTTGGTAAATTGCCTGCTTTGGAAGTGGAAGGAACTGTAAAGGCTGGGCATGGTTGCTTGCTTCTTCAACCCTATCACAGGGGGTTCTTGGAGCTCACCGACCAGAAGGTGTAGCCAAAAACTGAGCTCCAGCTCTAGAGAGAAACCATCTCAAGAAAATACGTTGAAGACTGATTGATGTCAAGTTCTGGCCTCTACATGAACTCACACACATGTATTCCTGCACGCACACACACACACACACACACACACACACACACACGCACTCACACACTACTACATGTACATTGTACACATACAAAAACAAAAATGTAAAAACATGATAAATAAGAAAATAACTGGGTGGGAATAGTGACTGGTCTGTAACAGTTTCAGACATGGATTTTAGTGAGGCCTAAATCTATGTCTCCAGAATTACCACAGATAAGAAATATCAAAAGCCATATAAATAAAAAATTAAAAAAAAATCTGGGTCCTTCTGGCACTAAACAGAAGAGTCTGCGTGTGAAATTATATAGTATTTAATACAATTTTATGTCATGTTAGGATGTCAGAACAAAAGGCGAGAGTTTGAGGTAGCTGGGCTGTCTTTTGGGGTTTATATAGGACTTTCCTATATGGTCGATAGACTCACTCATCTCTATAAGTTGGCTTTACCAATTAATGCTACTGCGTTTGGAGTTAGAGCGAATTATGTAATTTTCAGCTGCAAGCACCCAGCCTTCCATGAGAGTTGTTATTACAGGGGTTGTTTTAAATAGAGACTTAATAATGGAACTTTGGAGCTGACATTTCTTTCTGTAATGCCACTTGTATTTTGGGAGCCTCATCATTATTCTTTGTATGCATTTAAAATTTATTGTGGAAGTCATACAAATTGATGAAAGACACCCAACCTAATAAATCACATTTATCATTTTCATTCTTCTTCATATATCTTGGGCAATAAGGATAAATAATTTACCATTGCAAAAGCAGCATTCATTTATTTATTTATTGCGTTTGTATCTGCGGGGAGTTTTGTGCTTAGACAGGTATATTAATCTCAGGTGTCTTCTGGGGCCATCCTCCTCGTCTTGTGGAACACTATCTCTCATTAGTGCCTGATGCTTGCTATTTACTATGCTTATTGGCCAATGAGTCCTGGGAATCCCTGCCTCCACTTTCTAACACTAGAATTACAAATTCATGCCACCACACCTGGCCTTATGTATGGGTGCTAGGACTCAAACCTGTGTCCTTGAGTTTTTGCAGAAAGCACTTTGCTGACCTGGCTATCCCCCGGCTCAACAAACAATTGTTAAGTAAGTGAAACACTTTTGTAGGTTCCTCTTTGGGCGTTCTTAATTTCTAAGACTCATGCCATATACCAGAGCTTATATTTTCTCCTTGGAGACATGTACAAATGCCGTAGATTTTGGTCTTCTATTTCTTCCTCCCTCTGTAAGGCTTCTGTTAAAATTCTACTTGGGTTCTGCTCCTACTCTTAACCCAAAGGCATGTGGTATGGTAAATACACAAGGAACATTTTCAACCATTCCCTGGATGAATATCAGGACAGCCTGAGGTGAGGGGTAACAGAGAAAGGGAGTGGAGCTCAGAGGCAGAGAGAGAGAGAGAGAGAGAGAGAGAGAGAGAGAGAGAGAGAGAGAGAGAGAGAGAGAGAGAGACAGAACCTCAGAATCAGTCTGTGCCTGAGAGCTGTCTCTNATATCAGGACAGCCTGAGGTGAGGGGTAACAGAGAGAGGGAGGGGGGGTGAGAGAGAGAGAGAGAGAGAGAGAGAGAGAGAGAGAGAGAGAGAGAGAGAGAGAGAGAGAGAGAGAGAAACCCAGAACCTCAGAATCAGTCTGTGCCTGAGAGCTGTCTCTTCGCTTCTTATGTTCCTCTCCAGGGCTGCGATTAAAGGCTTGCACTACTACCGACTGGTTTCTATGGTAAACTAGTGTGGTTACTGGGATCAAAGGTGTGTGTTACCAACTGCCTGGTCTGTAAGGCTGACCAGTGGGGCTGTTTTACTCTCTGATCTTCAGGCAAGCTTTTTTTTTTTTATTAAAATACAAAGAAGTTAGGACCAGAGAACTTCAAGATGAGGATGTTTGTATCTTTAAGTAGGCACAATCCTGTCTCTGACCAGAGTTAACTTCTACATACAATACATATGAATTAAGAGGAAGTTAAATTAGAGGAAAGCTTCCAAAAACTCTACTGAGTAACTTATATACAGTAGTGATTCTATCTATTTTTTTTCTCCCAAAGGTCTTATGGACATTTACCAAGGCTTTGGATGCTGGAAAGAGGGGACTTTCACACACTTGAAGAACTACTGGACACAGGATCTACATGATATTCTATCGATCCAAATCACTCTCATGTCTATCATGCTAAGAGTACAGACTTGTAGGGACTGAAGAGGGAATCTTGACCAAAGCTCTTGATAGCATTTAGATGTGGTGGTGGGTGTCAAGGAACCACTACAAAGTCATTTACCTGGTCCCAAATGTGGCAATCATGTAGAAGGAACTGACATTTAGTTAACACTGAACATGGAGCTCTTTCTTTGGAGCTGTCCTTGTGAGGATGCCAGAGGGAGCTCTGCCTATTCTCCACAGGAAGGCAAGTCAGGACAGTGTCCTTGATCTGCCATGCTCACCACAAGCAATACTGTTCAGATGCTATTCCTGGTAGTAGTGGTGGCAGTGGTAGGTGGCGGTGGACGCTAGAGCTCCTCTCTTGGCTCTATCCAAACGGGGGCTGACAGCGGTGTGTGAGAACTCAAGGCATTCCCTTGTGTGCTCACAGGTGTGTCCTCATTCCCCGACTGTGATTGTGATCACAGATCACGTGGAGTGTGACCTTGACAGTGACTTTGGCTGCTGAAAAGTGAGGTTGACAGATATTCAAACCACTGTGAAGGAGGGCCAGGGTCACACTCTCTGGTGGGTCACCAAGACCTTCCCCGCTATTAGTTAAGAGGACTTGGAATGGGTTGTAGAGGGAGTTTAACTAGGCTGCTGAGGAGACTGGCCGCTGTGATGGGACCTGAAGCTAATTCCACCAACCCCTCCTCTTCTAAGAGAGGCCTATGGGGGCGGTTGAGCAGCAGATTCATGAGTATGTGCAATGTGTCATGATAACTGTGGACCGCAGAAGTCCAGATATTTCTTTAACTAATGGAAACCATGTAAAAAGCTGCCGTATCATGATATGGGAACTCTTTCAGCTAATTGCCTTTAAGATACTGGCCCACTTTGGGCATGGTCTCATGTACTATTTATGCAAACAAAAAGCATGTGCAAGTCTCTTGGCTTCTGGATTCAGTTCCAGTTCCCAATGTATGCAGTTCGCTACCCTTTCTGTGAGTTTATCCCCAAACAGATAAACCTTTGTTATACTCCATTCCTGGCTAGTGTGGAAATTTTTCATACTGCAACAATATCGCAACCCCAATCAATCACTCATGGCTTCTTCCATTCAATGATGGAGCTGGCCGAGGCTTGCCAGCAGGACCTGTGCAGTTCCCAATTCCCTCAGTGAGCATCCTCTGCTTCCAGATGATGCACTGGCCAGGGCGAACGCTTCATCAGTGCCAGGCTCATTTTAACCAACCCCCTTACTTGTTCATTTTCTCTCATCGGAGCCAGAGCTGCCTACCTCTTTTTCCATTTGTTCTTTAGAATTACCTCTCCCCAATAGACCCTTGCATTTGTAATTTTGTCTTGGCATCTGCTTCCAAATGGGCCTTTATTAACATGTGTGATCTTTTCTTGTACTTAAAAAGCAATTAACCTAAATTGCTAAGGTTTTACATAGCCAATAAAAGTGGAACTAATGAGAGTGTGTTCATTAGTGTAACTGTTGCATGATATTACATTGCTATATTACCTATGATCTTACCTGAATTTTATTTGTATCAGTCAAGTGCTGTGCCATTGATTTTAGAATAATTGCAAAAAAGAACCAAGAATGCTATAAGAGAAAAAGACAATAAAAGATTTATTAATCTATGTAAAAATAATGGTAATTATGACCTTTATAATACAATATTCCTATTTTTTTTACCTTAAAGTAAATGAGTAAGTTAAATGGACCAGGGCTGTAATACATTCTCTGTACCCTTAGGATGACTTTTGTCAAAGTTACAATTGCCATAGCTCACATCATATATTTCAAATATATCATATTTATGATATATTTAATAATATCAAAAATTGAAGCTAAAAGATGGACAGTTCACTTGAGATGACTTTCTGTGCATTTCTTCATGAAAGATTTCTTCATGAGATATTATGTTTGCTTCACTTAGGTTAACAAAACTAAAATAAAGCTCTTGTGGCAGGCTCACCATCAGGCTCTCAATTTTGTGCTAATTTTCTATGTGTTAACCATTTTCCCACTGATACTTACACACTGAAGGTGTATTTCCTTTATTCTACCACTGAACTCCCCATAAAATTTGCTGTTTCCTTCCCCCCTAGACTGCCTTTTTAAATTAACAAAGGTTGCTTAGCGCCTCATGAGGGAGAGTCATTAGCATGGGGTCGGATCAGATCACCGCATCTCATATTCAGCCATCATGAACCTCGTTGCTGTACTGTCAGAGGGCATTTGGATCACATCCAATTTTTGGCTGGTTCAGTGCTGGGGTAATTAGCACTTTGTCGATCATCACCTTAAGCTCAAGGGACTGGCTTAGGTGAAGGGTAGGAGGGCTGATGTCCATTCTAAAAAAGCAGATGTGGCTTAATGAAGGGATCACTTCACCGAAGAAATCACAGTGTCTGCTTGACAGTGAAGGTGAAAGCCACACTATTAGGAATGTTTAAGGAATCCAAGGCATGCTGCAACCACCTCCATCTCCAATCCTGTCCCAAATGCACTTTTAGTCATTATACCAAATGCTCTGTCATTTGCTTCCATTTTCAGCAGACTCTCCACACCCATGTGGTCCATAGGCTTGGCAGAGTGTTCACAGCTTCTCTAACTTCAGTTAACCCCTCCCATCCTTGTCCACAGTGGTGTTCTCGGACTCAGAATCGTGTTACAGCCTTACCGAACAGGTAAGGCCTTTCCTGGCCTGCAATGCTCTACTCTAAAATCCCCATGGCCCTTCTCAAGTGTCTCCTCTCTCAGGTCACTTGCCTACCCTAGTAGAGGTGCAAGTCTCCCTTTTTGTCCTCTGTGTGCTCATTCCTTTAAACTGTTCCATGCTTTCTTTTCCCATTCGACTTGCCAGAAACATCTAATTTTGTTTAAATCATATCAACAGCTCATTTCTCACCAATAAGCTTCCAAAGGCATGGAATTTAGCCACTGTTCTAATGCATCCCAAGAGCCTAGGAGTCTGACTGCTTCAGGGTAGGCACCTGAAAGATACCAACTGAGTAAATATAATAAATTTACTCAGAAGGCTGCTTAAAAAAAACTACTTGGTTTGTCAGAATTAGATTTTTGTGAACTTATGTTGATGGCGTATGATGCCTTTCTAGATATTTGCAATCAGTTGAATCCAATCACATGAATCTGTTAAGTCACAATAGACAAAAAATTGCATCTAAATTCAGGGTTCCAACGTTGAATTATAGGTTTTTCATGGTGTTTCTTCATGTTCCCACAACGTTTCAACTTGAGACCAAAAACTTGCTGTCATTCACCCTCTATTGTCAATATGCCATTACAATCCCTTCTGAAGTATTTTTTCCTACTGTAAAGCCGTCCAAACTTTGTGCTATACTTACTGTTTGTGAATATTTCAGATAGTTTTTAAGAGTAATTTATTCTGTCTTTAGATCAAAGCAGTAAACTCAGGTGCAACCTGCTCCTCTCTGTTTCTTGATATAGAAGACCCCTCTTTTACTAGATAATTTATTATAATTCAGTTTTGATATGAAATGTATGTTAGAAATTAGAAGGAAAATGACTTGTGGATATCAGTGGGTCTTGTAACCTTCTTCTAATCATAGAGTTTTGTATCTGCTAGCAACTTATATACTATTATGAAGTACTATATACTACTCATGTACTATTATGAAGTAATATATAATACTTACATACTATTATGAAGTAATATATAATACATACTATTATGAAGTAATATATTATATCTATGTACTATTATAAAGAATATTACCTTTAGGACATGCTTGACTATTGTCGAATCATTTGACTTTAAAAGATCACTCAAATTTTTCACCAGTTCCTCATGTATTGTTCTCTCTTTGTAGGATCTGGTCTTGAATACAAACTGAAGAAGACCCAGAAAAATGAACAAAGTTAATTACTCTTAAAAGGCTTTGAAGATTATCCTACACAAATCACTCATCTCTCATATTCAACTGCTTGTATCATCTTTAGTCATGGAGTCGGTGGAGGCCTGATGATAAGAGTAGGGGCCACTGGCTTCTATTTGGGGTCTTTGCAGAAGTAGGGCCTTGCTCACCTAAGCTCCCCTTGGCACTCTTTCTGTAGAAATCAAGAGAAAGGGCCAGAGAGCCATTGAGCAGGGTCAAGGAATCATGGAGGGCTTGAACCCACCTACTTAGGACACACTCCCCTTCTTCCTTCCACTGTCAACGGGTGGCATGGTAGCAATTCTTCATCCTGAAAGGGTAGAGCACCCACTCAAATAGCCAAGTGGGGAAGCGGGTGCCTTCCAGAAGTGAGGATGTGAATCCCCACAAGCCCAAGTTTTATCATCCTATGCTACACACAACTGTCAAGAGGTTGGTAAACATCAGCCATCAGTAAGAAAACTAATGATGCTTACTTTCCTTTCTTCCAAGAACTTTCTTGGTGATAATTTGTTTATTTCTTCATATATTTTAAGAACATCAACACACATATGAATACACATATTTCAAAAACACTAAATGTTTCATATTGAACTATAGTAGCTTATTTATGAGTCAGGTTTGCCTCAAAAAAAGGGTATTGCTTTCATGATATTCACAATTTAGAAGAGACTACAACTTAGAGGGAAGGCAGGCAAGATAACAGTACATTTCCTTTTGGATCTCTAAGGCTTTCCTTGGATGTTGAAGCCCATCAGAACCATGGTAGGCCCTGAGGTTTGAAGCTCATCTCAAAGGCAAGACAAAAATCTGATGGACTCATAAGGGTAATTAGTTTCCCCCAAGCACTGAGCTTCCTATGAAGACAAACTCACCACCTACTGTTGAATCCTATGCAGTTATTTAGCCTGAAGGGTATTTAATTTTCACTAGCCCTGGACTATTGTAACATTGCAAACCGGATTCTTAGAACTGTCAGGGCTCTGAGCCCCTGTGAAGCATAGCATTGAATTAGATTGGCTTAGACACACATCTTTGAAAAAGATATGGTGGATGTGTTCAGTTTTGATACTATAGATGGAGTGAGTTAGCAGCACTTGGTACCACTGAACTTGAAATGGTGTTTGGTTTACTTGCGGTTAAATATAAATTACAATGATTATAACATCACCCAAGGATATACAAGCATGTCTTGGAATCAGCTCATCTTTTTTTTTTTTTTTTTACAATGCTCTTAGGTATGGGGCTTAATATATATCTATTTGTTAAATGTTTCCCTTCTGTCCATATACATCAGCAGAAGTCTGATCACAGAGCTGGATCCTCATCTGGCCTGTTTCCTCTTTGCATCAGAGGAGACAGCTGAGGTTTGTGGGGGCTCACTTCTCAGGACATTCCACTGTCTAGATCTAGGTTCTCACTTCTCAGTTTAGGGAATTTAGTTTAATGACACACATGTTAGTTGTACTTATTAGGAAGTATTTATTTCAAAATAAATTCTAATATAGCAATTGTCCATCTGAAATTTCATGTAAGTATATCTCTGGATTTGAGCTACTTTAGAACAAAGGAGATAAACCATCCCTTTTCTGGTTTGCAGATTGTGACACTCTTGTCAAGATATTTCATGTTTCCTGGGTGAGAACGAAGCCTGGTCCAAGGTGTACTTCCAAGGGCACCACAGAGTAGGCATCCGAGCCTTTAGGTTCTCACAGGAGCTGGCTGTGGTGGTGACAGAAACCGCCACAACAACTGAAGTTCTTAGTATATTTTTAAACAACTCCATTGAATGAGGAAACGGATACTACAGTGGAAATGAAGTTGTCTGAATGAAGTGTATGACGATTCAAGGAATTGTTTTATTCTATTTGTTCTCTTTGTAGATTGAAATAGAAAGTGAGGGCTACGTATTGAGAAGATGAACTCCCTCCAGATAATTACATTAGCAAGTACAGCCATCAGTCTACTAGTGAACTCAGTGATGCCCCTCTATGAGGCAGAGTAAACTATAAGGTATTTGTAGCTGTAATTAGCTGTTGGTAATTAAAGTCAGGGTCCTAGCAGGCAAAATTCCATCCTACGGAAATAGCTGGGAAATGGCTCTTTCTAGCATACAGGCTACTATAAGAAGGGCCATACATTCATGCTTTGGTATTTGGGGAAAACATCCAATATTTCTGGCAGATAATCCATAAACAGGAATCCTTGCAGGTGGAATCTCAGAGTGGTTCCTTCTAGAATGGGATTTTTTTAAAACAATTTCCTTTTGTAGCAACGTTTCTATGACACCAATCATTGTTTAAAAAAGAAGTTTCTGTAACAAAAGCCCCAATTTTTCTCCAGGCTCGTTTCTAAACATCTAGAATGTACAGGTTTGTCGCCGTAGATGACTTGAATGTATTTTCTTTTAAAAAATAACATCTCAAGATATCCAGCCTGTGTATGCAAAATGGGAATGTAGCTTTTGTATGTATTATGAAGTAGTTTAGGATGCTTGTATTTGCTTTCGATGAAATGATGTTTGGAGCAGAGCTATGGGAATGCAAACATCACCACAAGTTCATTGGTATCCATTTACAGTCAATTGAAAATGAGACTAGAACATCTCCAAGGGGACACTTGACAAGGGACACTGAGGAAGCAGTGCACACTGATGAGATGGGCAAATGGTTCATGCCAGAAGATAAAGGACTTAACATACCAGAAGCAGGTACAAATACACAGTAACTGGGAAAATGAAATAATGCCTGAGAAAACAATAAAAAGAGCTAAGAAAACATTACAGGAGAAACACAGAGCATTCAATAAACCCTCAGATGTCTTCCTTGATTAGCGTCAAAGTTTCATATATTTCTAATGTCAACTTCAAAGCAGCAACACTTTTAGCTTTCTCTTCTGTCTTTTTCCACCATTCTGACATCAATATTCATTTCCACACGCACATAGCGTTTTTATGTTTGAACAGTACAGCTATCCCATTAATGCAAAGACACGGAATTCTGCTAAGGTAGACGCGTGTTCTGAACACGGCTGGCACCATCCAACGTCAGGGTGAGAACCTCCCTCTTAGTGCAGACAGTGCAGGAACGAGACAAGCCACACAGCGCAGGGCGTATGATCAGTGCCCTAGTGGCAACTCCCTACCTTAATGTACGACTGGACGGAATGGTCTAGCTGCTCCTCATGACACTTGGCCACAATGTCAGCCAGAACCCTGGAAAAGCAAAGATGTTCAGTGGCCTGGCTGAAGGTATAAAGATGCTATTTTATTAGAATACTTGGAAAATGGGGTATTTCGTGAATGATTGAATGCATGCATGAATGAACCAACCAGTTCACACTCTTCTTTGGCCTTCCTCAGTCCCCAGCGGAGGGCACCTCATATATCTTTAACACCTGGGAGCCAACTTCCAGCACCATTTCCAAACAGAAGTATTCCAAGAATTGACTAAGCTATAAGGAAAGTCTTAGGGTGTAATATTGCGCTGGAGACGTTTTCTCTGAGCTGAATGCACTATTGTGGTCTCTGCACCTGCTGACCTTGTCTTCCTGGAAAAGGGATCATTGTAAGTACCTAATTCGACTCTGATTAATGACCATGTTCCATTATAAAGGGCTCACTTTCCAACCTGTGAGCAGAAGACCTATTTTTGGAAAAAGAGATTAGGTTAAGCTGTGTATTTCCGTCATTAGCTGGGCTAGGGTTTCACGAGGCAGTGGTGCGGTGAGAACTTTTCATATTAACATGACCAGTCACTGCCTTGGAGAGCTTTGGGAAAACTCAGAAATTCTAACCTATCTCTAAACTGCAATATTTATAAGTTTTGTCAACCTCGACACATACACTCAGATGAAAGGGACACTAGTTGGATGGCACTATTTGCGATTTCCAATCTGGGTTCAGAACTGGATCTTTGGGGAACTGATATTGATACTTTATTTTCCAAGAACTTCAGGGTTTTGTTTTAAAATCAAGGTTAAAAACTTCATTGTAGAAAAGATAACTAATATGTCTTTGAGCAAGGAAGATACAGTCAACATTTTAATGCTAGCTGCGATTTTTTTTATAACGCTATGGCTATTTTTGAAATAAAAAACAAATATATGATCAAATTATTAATTCAAAATAACATAAATGCAGAACTCTGGGTTCATTACTAGACTTATTAGTGATTTTGGTAGAGTATGGTGTGATCAAATTTAACACAAAAGAAAAGAAATGGTGCAGTCAGGCAATAGTGGCACACGCCTTTAATCTCAGCACTCAGGTGGCAGAGGCTGGCAGATCTCCATGAGTTCGAGGCCAGCCTGGTCTACAAGAGCTAGTTCCAGGGCAGTTAGAGCTGTTACACAGAGAAACCCTGTCTTGTAAAACAAAAACACAGACAAACTTTTTGTGGGATAGTGAAATGATACATCTATTCTGGCAAACAATCTAGCAGGTTCTAAAAAAAAATTCTAATGCTCAATCAATGAACTGTGTACTCATTGTGTTACTATGAATCCATGTCAGAAGTAAAGCATGAGAGCTACATTGACATAGAATTTATATAAGAATATTTATAGTGACTTTATTTGTTATAACCCCAAATGGGAAAATTCAGATGTCTTTCGACAAACGAATTCTTAAACATACCGTGGTACAATCCATATCATAGAATATACTCATCCATGAGAAGAAGTGACCTACTGATAAGTGGGTAGCCTGGGTGGATCTTCAGAGAATTGTGATGCGTGAAAAAGCTAATGCCAAATGATTGCACACTGTATAATTTCATATATACACAAATGTGTGTGTGTGTGTGTGTGTGTGTATGTGTGTGTGTTGACAGTGGGGGATACTAAGTGGTGAAGAAACTTTTCCTCTCCATATTATCCATTTTAACTGCTTATGAATCTACAGTTATCTCAAAACAAAATGTTTAAAACGCAGAAGAAAAAAATCTAGCGTTCTGCTAATGATAATAGTCAGGGCTCTGAAAACAAGGGCATGAGGGTGAGAAGTGCTTAAATCTGAAATGCATGTTCACACGAAATGTACACAAATATGGATAGCCAGAATCATAGCATCAGGATCCTGTCTGATCAAAGGTTCTACAGTCTGGGCCCCCAGTGTTGCTATGGATACCTGGTGACGGTTGCACTGATTTCATCTTCCTCGTTCTGCACTAGAATTTTGAAGAGCTGATTCAAGATGATGGGCAGGAAGCTCATGATGGAGTGGATCTTGTCCACATTTAATAAGTTCTGCAGGGAATTGGCGGGAAAAACACAAATGAACAAGCGGGAAGTAGGTCAGCACAGTCTGCAGGTGTTTTCAGGACTATGAGGTGATCACGTGGTCACTGTACTCCCCTTTAGCTGACCACTCGCTTTCCTTCTTTGCTGTGGCAGAAGGTGTAGGTTATATCGAAAGGATTTTGCTTAATTAGCAATGGTAAATACATTCTAATTTTCAATTATTTTTGTTTTGGATAAAAAACTGATCTTTGCCTTTTCTCCTTTTTTTTATATAAACAGAATTATGTAGAAAGAATGAAGTAAAACTCATTGGCTCTCTGATCTGCAAGGGTAAGGTCTTTTGAAAATCCTTAATAATCTTTACTTCTTAGTTTTCAGTGGGAAATAGGATTTATTTGCCAGTTTATATCCCACAAACCGTTCAATCTGCATGTCATGTTACCTTACAAGCAAGGACAAAACCCGAGGTAGGTGACTGAGACATGTCTTTTTCTCTCTTTTGGCACTGATGGAAAAATGCATTCACATGTGGGTCCTGCAAAGGCAACAGAAGTGTTTATTGGTGGTGGTGCACAGACTCAGAGCTAGGGCGGCAAGCACTTCTAAGCACGATTCCCCAAGAAATGAGACTTAGAGCCTTTTTCCCCCTGTCGACAGAGAGGTCAACTGAAGACCCCCAAGTGACTACAGCACTCTGGATGCTGATGCCCGCACATTTCATACTCAGTTCTCTTATCCCTCTGGCCCTGACTGGAGAGTGATATCCCCTGGCTGCCTGCCTCCCTTCTTTCCTTTCTTCTCTCCCTCCTTACCTACCTCCCTGCCTGTCTCTCTTTTCCCCTTCCATCTTTTTATTCATCCCTCCTTCTCTTTATTCCCTTATTTCAATGTTTCTAATTTCTTCAGTCCAAATTCCAGAGATCTTTAAAAATCTCTCGTACATAGTCTATGACACACAGGGCACCATGCTGTCTTTGACATGCCTAGTAACAACATTTCCAGGTTTAATGTGTCTGTATCAGCCTGAAATCAGGACACAACAAAAACTGCGACATGCACACATCCCAAGACATCTTGGTTTTGAGCTGTTGGAATCTGCTTGGAATTTCTCCAAGTTCTGAGTTGAGTTATGTTTCAAATGATTTTTCTTTCAATCAAGTGAAAGAAAATTTAGTTTTGAGAACATATTTGTGATTGTTTTTGAAGTAAATGCTAGACGGGCATCTGGCATGTGTTTTCATTATACTGGCATTTGAGTGGTGATGTTTCCATTTCCTACTTATTTCTTAATTAGAGACAGTTGTTTTCCTCTTAGATATGTCTCCATATATTTGTCCAGTTAGTTATTATTTAGTGAAAGCTGGCTGTGTGTCAGGTCCCTGGTAGGCCTTTTTGACAGAAGAAAGGCGGGACAGACAGGATGTGGGACGGACAGGATCACTTCACCTGTGGACTGTTCACCATGACTACGTGCTTTCACATGTACCTGGTGATTTACAACTTGAGAAGCTCATTACAATAAAAACAAGATGCCATCTGGGCAGGTTACAGGACAGCGCAGCACTGCCTGCAGGTTCAGGGAACCAGGAAGACTTAGGAGAAGTGACGATTGATCTAATATTGGAATTATCAGGCTGAGTCAACCAGATTGATGAGCAGAAGGCAGGAAGAGAGGACAGGTGCCTTTTTACCTGGCTGAGGAAAGGCAAGTACCCAAAACATCTTGGGAAACGGAGTATGAGTTGGAAACCACAGTGTGGGGAAGCCTTGGACCTTGGCAAGCAAGATGAGGTGGGGTAATTAGTTGTGGGACCCAGGACTAAGGATGAGGATGAAAGTATCGTCGAAACATTGAACTTTTTTGATTTTAAAAGCCTATCTGTGAATCTTTATCTGTATTATCTATGTGCTTATCTCTGTGTAGTCTCTGGATTATTTCATCATTCTTAGGAATCAAATATGTGGTTGAGATAAAACAGTATGAAACAGAAAAAGCTGCCTTACAACAGAAAGAATAAACTTACAATTTAATAGTTATGAATGTGTAGACAGTACGCGATAGCTCATGAATTGCTTTCACGTGAATTTTCTTATTTTGCTCTCCGTCACAAGATTAAGTAGTGATATTCTAGGTGTACCATTTTCCTGATGAGGACTTAGGAACCACAGAGGTTAATGTGACTTGTTCAGCAACAAAGTCAGCAGCTGGACAAACTGACCCTCCAGTGAAGTCCTGTCTATCTCATGGTCCTGGGTAGACATGGGAATTAGACTTAGTTTTGTGGTAAACTTAAAAAGTATTTTTTTTTTAAAACCATTGAACAGGTTCTAGACCTGGGTGTTGTAAGTATGAGGAGATCATACTATGAGTGAATGGCCACATTCTAAAGATGCTTCTGTATTTTGGCCTCAAGTTTTATGACTTAAGGAGCTAGTTAGGGCATTTTGTCTATCTCAAGAGGTGAAGATTATACTTTAAGCATTTTTCTTGACAAGTTCAGCCACCTGCTCCTTTGACAACTCATGACATGATGTGTTTCTCCCTACAGATGTAGGAGTCACCATCCTATTTTGCATCATAGTCTATGTCTCTATTGTAGGACATGGTACTCACCTGAGTGTTGACTGTTGATACAACAAATGTTGACACTTTGAAAAGTGGCTTCCCACCATCGACCCATTTAACATTACTTCCGCCATGCTGCAAGAAAGAGTTTGCCATCACCGACAAAATGAGATAAGGGAATCAGATCATTTAATTCATGTTAATTTGCTGTTCTGAGTCATTATTGCCACATCGCTCTAGAGGTGGGAAACTGTGCAAATTCATTTGGAAGTTTTGGAGAGGAGACTGACATACTTTCATAGAGTCATTTTTTAATGGTTCATTTTTAGTGGCCACAATAAAATAAGAGTAGGATTATTGTAGGTTAACTTCATAAAATTGCAATGGACACACACACTATCATGCTAGTTTAAATAACAGAGTATAAAGGATAGCCTTGTTTCATAGCTGATTTTTCTAAAAAAATTGTAAATTATACACTATTCAATACCTTTCCACTTGCAGAATCTTGAATGCTTAAATAATTAGGAGGCAGGGTGGTTGTTATTGGGATATTATACTCCTGAGAAGCTATTTGATCATGTTTCATCAGAGGAAGCCATGCATATCCCACTGCAAAGAAGCAACACTAATAAGGTTGTGAACACAAACCTCTATGCTAAGAAGTACAAATGTACCTCTTGTCACTATAAACAGCAACTTCATTTAAGAATCAATAAATCATATCTTTTCAAAATGGTCTCCAACTCAAGTTAGACATGTGTCACGTTGACCTGTTTCGGGTCACTTCTTGTAAGTACCTGAAGTCTCCAGGGACTCTTTCTTTTTGGCTTTAGCTTTGGCATTGATGTCGCACGTGATGTGATAAAAAGAAAACAAAAGGTGGTGCTTTTCATGGAGCTGTGTTGGGAGCTCAATTTTCACCTGCAGGGGAAGACACCACATTTAGGTTGAGATTAAAATCATTCGCTTAACGTCAGCACAGGAATGAAATTTAGGTCCGTGTGTAGTCAAAATGATAGAACCCTCAACAAATATTCAGTCTGCGGGCTGTAATGTATTGATATGTGATTTTTATATCTTACTGTGGTAGATGACAATTTAGATTGTGTAGTATCTCTCATCACATGATTTATGCTTCCAGAGTATCAATTAAACACACACATTAAAAAACACCAATTCGCCAACAGAACTACGGAGTGTAAAGAAGATAGACATTAAAGAACTACCGTAAACCAGCAGTGGTGGCCCACGCCTTTATTCCCAGCACTTGGAAAGCAGAGGCAGGTGGATCTCTGTGAGCTGGAGGACAAGCTCCAAAGCTACACAGAGAAACTCTGTCTTGAAAAAACAAAAACAAAACAAATAAGCAATCAATCAATCAATCAAACAAACAAACATGGTGAAACTGTAACTCCTGGCCTCCTGAGTATGCTCGTGGGCATGGGTATTAAATGAACACTTGTTAGCCATTCAGAACTCAGACACTGCCCCAGAATCTGAATCTGCCTTTTAAGGTACCCAGGCAACTCATGTGCACATCACTGAGAACTGTGGCTGTAAACAAGATAACTGGAAGCCTGGCCTCTGTCTCTCTAAAATACAACATAAACATATGAAATGACTTTTGTCATAGCCAGTAAGGAGTCATTTAATGAAGCAGCGCTGAAGGTTTACTAATGATGCCTCTGATTAAACACAAATATAAAATAATAAAAGCGACATGGGTTATTTATCCCATATTTCTGGAAAGAAAGCGTTTGAAATAACCACCTACATTTTATATCACTTTTTAAATTAGGTATCAAAGCTTTGTCACATGTACTTAATTTCCTCATTGTCTTGTGATAGGGACACTACAGAGGTGGGACTCAAGGCCAGAGATACTGAGTGAGCAAGAGATGGTAGAGTTAGTAACAGGGGGTTTCTAAGTCAGTCCTACATCTTCTGATGACCCCTGCATACCAGGATTCCAGGAGCCTATATGCACTTAGCTTTATATGAGTCACTAAGTTGCTCTGAGAACAGTCAAGTCAAGCAATTAATAAAGCCCATAGATTATTAATTAGATGTCTTGTGCGTCTTCCAGTTTATCCTCGTTCTGTTTAAAAAAAAGTCTTAGGACTGTTAGATTCCACAGTGTGGTCCCTGAAATGGTAGGATCAGTGTTATCTGGGAACCATAAAATCTCATGCCTAACTCAGACATGTTGAATATTCAAATCTGAGTATTCTGTTTCAATGAGTCTTCCAGATAAGTCTCATTTATGATACAGTTTGAGGATCCCTGGATTTTGATGAGTTACAAGCTTATGCACGTTTATACAACAGTGCACTAACCTAGTTACAAACTCCAATATACATTTCAAAATCCATAATCATAAGCAGAACACTAGAAAATTTCTTCTTAGCCCACTTCAAGATTACATAGCAATGCACCAAGTATTCCAGAATCCCAGTTAACTACATGGTCATGAAAGCATCCTTGTCTTAAGGTTTCACTTGCTGTGATAAAATATCATGACCAAAAACAACTTGGGGAGGGATGGGTTTATGTAAGTTTACAGTTCCATGTCATAGTTCGTTTTCAAAGGAAGTCAGGCAAGAACTCAAGCAGGGCGGGAACATGGTGACAGGAACCGAAGCAGAAGGCCCAGATTAGTTCTGCCTGCTGACTTCTCTTCTTGGCGTGTTCAGACTGCTTTTATAGTACCTGGAATTACCAGCCCCGGGGAAGTCCTGCCCACAGTGATCTGGATTCTCTGGAAACATTCAACAACAGCAAAAAAACATACCACAGGCTTTCCCACACGTAAAGCTGGTGGGGACATTTTCTCAACTGAGGGTCTCTCCTAAAATGGCTCTAGTTTGTGTGGAGTTGACATAAAATTAGGCTTCACAATCCCTGACTTAAAAATCCTGCAAATACTTACATTTTGTTATAACAATGCATTGGATAATTTATACCTATTTTAAAGTTAGTGCAATTGTTTTTCCTGTAATTAAGAAAATCAAACCTTAGTATTAAATCTAGGTTGCAAAGACCACTAAGTGATTCATAATCTACATGTCTCTTGGAAAAGCTCATGGGTTTTAGGAGATGTCAGGAAATATAAGAAAATAAAAAAGATTAAAAGCCAGACTTAACAGCATTGAGAGACAGAGAACACTAATTTATGAAATTCTTACATCTACAGAAAATGCATCTTTCACATGTGTTATGTGAAAAAGTCAATCAATATGGCAAATATTCTGTAATGTAATAATAGCTCTTTCCCTTAGCTCTTTCTTTCTTTCTTTCTTTCTTTCTTTCTTTCTTTCTTTCTTTCTTTCTTTCTTTCTTTCTTTTAAATCCTCTTACCTTGATTGATGGAGGACAATAAGAGCATTAAGTAGACATAGATGTAGGAAGTAAGGTCAGGGGGTTTTGTTAATTAGTTGGAAAAGGACAAATATGTCACATGGGTGGTGGACAGAGATGGCTCCCAAAGGTGACTCTGTGTTCTAAAACCCAGAACCCATGGATATGTGACTGTGCAAGCCACAAGGGACTTTCAAAGATGTGATTAAGGTGAAGATGTTGGGATTATATCAGATATGACAAGAGGGTACATTGTGGTCGCGATGAGGCTCTTTCCTTCCTGCCTTCATTCCTTCCTCCCTTTCTTTTCCTTTCTTGTCAGAAAGAATCCATGTGCCTCACCCAGGTCTCACACTCTCTAGATAGCAAAGAATTATTTTAACTCTAGGATCTTCCTATCCCTACTTCCCGAGGGCGCTGATCACCACACATGTTTGTATGTGGTGTTAGGACTAGGACCCAGGACTTGAGGTATGCTAGGTGAACACTTCATTAACAGAGTTACATTTCTAGCCCCATGCCTGTCCTTATAAAAGGTAGAAGGGACAAGAGTCACAAACCAAGGCATGAGGTGGTGTTTAGAGGCTGCAAGTGGCAAGGAAACAGATCTTCCTCTAGAAATTTTTGGAGGCATTCTACCTCACTGACACCATTATTTCAGCCACATGATAGCCAATTCAGACTTCTAACCACCAGAACTGTAAACGGTGTGTATTATTTTAAGCAACTAAAGGGTGCTAATTTGTTATGGTTTCAATAAAGGAACTCATATAAAACCCTAGCTGGCTGTAATAGTTCAGACTGTCTCTTAGGGTTAGAAGCTGGATTTAATCACTGAAACTTGTCTCAGGCTGTCTATAACATAGCTAATATATGTGTAGCCATTTACCACTAGCCCAGTGAAACTTCTTATGAGTTACAGGAAGTGGGAAAGCTTTTCTCCAGGGCTACGTGGCCTCCTTTGATTGCTGACTGTTACTTAGTAGCTGTACAACCCTGGCAAAGTTACTCAAACCAGTGCCTTCATCTATATCAGGAGGTGGGAACAGTGCTGGATTCTCAGAGCTTTGGAAGAGGACAAAAAGAGTGTTGAATTTTCTAGGACAAGTCACACTTCTAACCATGAGATGAGGGGACTGAGCCCAGTGAAGTTCATGCAGCTGAGAGCAATAGTGTTGATTTATAACATCTAGACATCCTGCTATCACATACATACTGACTAGTAAAGCTATCTAATATGATCTTTACTAAAATCACCCACAAAATAAATGAGAAAAAAAAACAGTCTTATTTTGGTGTGGGAGAATTGTCTGTATTCTGTTAATCATTTTTAAATAAATGATAATTGGCCAGGCAGGAAGTATAGGCGGGTCAACCACACAGGAAGTAGAGGCGTGGTGATAAGAACAGGAGAATTCTGGGAAGGAGGAAGCCCATTCCTCGCAGTTCTTCCCAGACCACTGAAGCAGGATGGACCTGCCCTGTTGAAAAAGGTACTGAGCCATGTGGCTAACCTAGATAAGAATAATGGGTTAATATGAGCTACAGGAGCTAATAAGAAGCCTGAGCTAATGGGCCAATCAGTTTATATCTAATGTAGACTCTCTGTGTGATTTTCTTTGGGACTTGCTGGCTGTGGGAACTGGGCAGGACAGAAACCCCAACAAGCCTGGCCCTCATGTTACATTATTTGAAAAGAATGATAAAATAAAGCCATTTTTTTTGAAGCTCAGTCCTTACACAACTGTAGGAATTAGCAGCATTCACCAGGACTATCACCAGCCAGAGTCACTTCAGTTAGTGTCACTGTAGAGCCTCGGGAGGTGTACGCCATGGTCCTCAATCTGAGATGTAGTCTACATAAGGTTTCTTTGACCTTTTCACCCATGAGTCTCAGGTGGAGGCTGTGGGGTCTGGTCCTTACCTCGTCAGAGAAATCTGGATTTTGAGAATGGTGCAGGACAGCTGTGTAGGCAGCTGAAGTAAAGAGCGGCCCTCCAGGTTTTCCGTAAATACACTGTTCAGAAAGTGAGGAGGGGAACAAAATGAGTGCCTGAAAATATGCCCAGGTGAAAAAAGTCAATTCCAGCACACACTCGGATTGGTTTCCTAGCATGACATCCAGCTAGCTTTGGACTTCCTTGGCCCATTGTTCTGTGTGCACTGTGCAATGGGGCATCAAAGAACAGCTAAAGGCCTTTACACATCTTAAAGGTATGGCCTAAGGGTTGAACACTGAACCAACTTACTGTACAACTTTTGTTTGCCATAAATATGAGTTAGTGTTCAAGATAGGCCCCTGAAGCATGACTTTCTGATAGAGTTAAGGTCCTCAGCCTTGGCTGGACCCCAGGTCCATGCCAACCAATGAAGGTGAGGTAGCAGGACAGACTCAGCTTTTGATATTAAATCCTAACCTCTTATCAGGCCGGAGGAGGCTAGCAGTTCTGATAGATGGCGCTGGTGATGGCTGTTGAGCCATGTACATTTTCAGGAGATCTTAAACAAATGCCTGAAATTGTTCTTCATTCACCATACTCATACAAAGCTCCCCTAGTGGTGCAAAGGACCAAGGCACCTGCTTTCCCTCTCTTGCTATGTCCCCAAGTGACTTGGCTCACCTTCATGGGCTTGGCACCATCTTCATCAGAGTTTTTGAATTCAATGCACACAGTTATATTTCGTGCCTGAAATTATAGTGAGGGGGGAAAATGGAGATGGTAATTTCCTCTTAAATAACACCGCAAACAATATAAGGGCCTAAAATAAGTAGCTTCTAATTAAATCTGAAAAAAATGTATAATAACCAGCATTGCCTTGTGACATTATCCATGGTCCTCAGAAGCAGCAGGATTTGGAGAGATTTTTTAAAAGGAAACAAAAAAGCTCACAGTACAGAACTAAGCATGCTATTTTCAGGGTATTATAAGAAACTAAAAAAAATGGTCTAGATCAAATTTATGTTAGGCTGATTTTAAAAAGGATTATTAATGTATTACACAACCATGCATCTTCAAACAATTCAGAGCTGAACAACTATAAGATAACTGCTTTGGAATATTCCTTTATACTGTGTGAAGACATGTTTAAGAAAGAGTTTAAGAATTGGTTTAAGAAAGAGTTGAATGGCAAGAGTTAGGTAGGAAGAGGTTAGGCAGGACTTCTGGGGACAGAGAAGTCTCAGGAAAGAAGGAAGGTGGAGTTACCAGCCAGCTGGAGAGGGAGCAAGGCACACAGGAGGAGAGATAAGAGTCATGAGTCATATAGCAACATGTAGATAAATGCAAATGGGTTAAATTAAGTTATAAGAGCTGGTGGGACAAGCCAAAGCTGTAGGCAGAGCTTTTATAATTAATAATAAGTCTCAGTGTCCTTTTTGGTGATCTAGTGGCCCAAAATAAAAATCTGTCTACAGATACCTTTTTTGTAACACTTCAAGATGCTGAAAAATGCATTTGTCTTTGAATAATCCTAAAGTGAATTCTAGGATGAACCCACCCTTGGCTAAACACTTTCTTCAAGTCTTGAAGTTATTTGAAGTTGCTCTTTCAAGAACCATCATGTGTGATCTATATACCACAAACTGAGATGAACTAAGACCTCAGAAATGTGTGTCATACCTTGTTGAAGCATTTCTGGCTATCATACTTGAGGTGCTTGGGGTAGACATAAATTTGATTTTTGTATACTCTGTATGGACGGCAATACTTTGTTGAATCATAAATAAATTCTTCCACCTCCACTGTAGGTTCTGACTGAGACATCACGTTGAAAGGCTTGACAGGGATAAAGGACGATGTTACACAGTCTTAAGAAATCAGAAAATAAGAGTTTATCATTTAATATGGGTCTTCTAAAGTGAGCAACACTTATTAGATTTTATAAGATAAGGCATAACCCACTGACTATCACATGCTATTATAAATAAAATACATGTATTATTGTATAGCAGATAAAGTTATTCAGTGGGTCTATTATTGGGACTAACAGATGAATTAACAGTGACTTTCATACATGGAATGATTTTTACAGCAAAAGCCTAAAGCCCTCTGTAGATTATTTGTTACTTTTTTTTCTCTTAAATTTTTACCACCTTTAAAAAAAATCTAACTTTGTAGTTAGCCTAAGGAAAAATAGTCTAAGAAAAAATAAAGAAGAGATGTCTAGGAATGTGTAAGTCAAAACTTCTGTCATTCCACTCTTTGAAGGAGGGAGATATCATGTTGAAACAGAAAGAGGCCTGCTGCTTTTTTTCTACAAAGAACCTTCCTGGACTCAGATAAAACAAATAGATTGGCTATACATACTTGGGAATCAGATGACAATTCTATTTTTTAATTATGAGTCAATTACAATATTTTTTATAGTCTCGAATTTCTCTTTTACTCTACCATTCTTTCCAAGAGAGCATTTAGCTTTCTATTATGTTGGCTTTTCTGTAGGCAATAAAGCCTTGTTCCCTAAATCACATCGAGGAAATGGCTTAGTTTGTCGTCTGCTGTTTCCTGTCAATCAATGCGAAAATGATTTGGGATTGGAACTTAAGTTAGAATTTTCATTATAGTTTATATTAAAATGATTTGTGGAAACTTATCAGGAGAGATGGGCATCGTCTCCTCCCAGTTATCATTTATCATAGGAAACCTTGATTCTGTATCTGGAAACCCTCATTCTTAGGTCAGTAGAAGCAGGAGTTTTACCATGTTCCAAATATGGTAAACATTCTTTGTAATAACATTTCGGTCACATAGGTGGCTGTGCTCCGTCCTCAAAGGAATTTGCTGTCAGTGCGGTATGGCAGAACCAGTCTACACTAGAGTCAGGGAAACTAAACAGAATATGAATTCTCTCACTATTGGCTATTCATTTACTTGAGCCTGACTTTCCTCATAACACTCCAGGGGTTTAAGGATTATGTGAATAATTTAATATCTTGCTGGGTATTAAATCCATATTTGTAGAAAAGATAATAGTTAAGCTATCCAGGGTATAGTTTCAGTTATGAATCCATTGTCTATCTCAATGGACAAATAAGTCCCATATTCCTATAGTATAATGAATTCCTTTCCATTTTGGAAGACAAAAATCCCCAAGAAACCCAAATTTTGTGTTTAAGTAGTTAACCAACAAGCTAACCAAACAATCAAATAACCTCCCACAAGATGCTCAGAAGTCTCTAAATGAACCATGATATCAATGATATTGGCATCATACTTGGCTGCTCCAAGGGGATGTTGTCCACAACAATATCCAGGCTTCCAGGGATGGTCTGCATTTTGCTTGTCCGGTCAGCTCTGTGAAAGAACATCACACACCACACCACACCACACACACACACACACACACACACACAAACACACACACATTGTATTATTTTCATTTCCAAAGAAAACCCCATCTTACACTGTAATTCTGAGCTTTGAGAAGGGTAAAGAGTAATGGCATATTGATTTTTTTGGATAGTTTAATTCCTGTAAAATATATGCTAGTGCAAATTAAAACAAAAATCAGGGAGGAATCAAGTTACAGATATTCTGCTAATACCTTAAACTATTTTCTCTGACTTCACTTATACACGGACCAGATGAATATAATAGTAATTTATTATTATTATGGTCTTGTCAATAAGACTTATTTGAACTTGCTTAAGCATTTCACTATCAATGTGAGTTTTAAGAAATTTTAAGAACAAAGTCAGTTTTTGCTACAGTTGCTAAGAGTTTGCATTCATCCTTAGATTCCATAGCAAAGAACTGACCACCTCTACAGGTATGTAGGCTCTTCTCCTTTTATCATGCAAATTCACTCTTTGACTCTGGAGGTCTGTTTCCTTCCCTGCTTCCAGCTAGCACAGTCCTTGAAGGTTGAAGAATCTTCAGGAGGTGGAGTCTTGCTGGAGAAAGTCAGTGACTGGGGGCAGGCATTAGAGTTTTACAACCCAGTTCCAGTCCCTGTTCACTCTCTGTTTCCTGATGGCAGAAGCAATGTCACCTGTCACTATGTCTTCTCTGCCACGGAGAACTACATTCCCTGAGAGCACAAGACAAAGTGATCCCTCTTCTCCTAAGTAGCTTTTGTCAAGTATTTGGCCTCTGCAGTTGAAAAAATAACTCATGCCACACCATATGTTGATGATGATTATTATTATGTTTTTTTGAGACAGGATTTCTTTATGTAACAGTCTGGCTGTCCTGGAAATCACTCTGTAGACCAAGCTTGCCTTGAACATAAGATTATTTGAGTCTCAAACTTTTACCTCTCTTCCCAACTCCATGGTCAGTGAACTGCACTGATGGGCTGAAGTTAGTAATGGCAAATTTATACCATGGAAATTGGTCACCAGGAGGAACCAGATTTAATTTAATGTCAGTACTGCACTATGTATTCTAGGTGCCCCTCACATGCCATTAATAATTTCTTTCTATTCCCTGATAGCATAATGTGTGTCAGGGTTTATTTTGGTCTTTGTTGTATCAGTTTATCCCCAAATCTTTGCATGTTCCATGCTGTTCAACATTACAGCTATTCAAACCTTAAGTGACTGCCAAAAAGGCAAAAGGAAAAGATCTTTTCATTTTCTCATGGTGGCTTGAGGAGCCTTGTGAAGGTCTGGGTGCAGGTTTTGACTACTATGTTTCATGAGAGAAGTGCAGAAAGGTCTCTTATGTTACCAGTACTCTTCCTGGACTAAAAGAACTAAGATTAGTATAGGTTCTTGCCTAACAATTTACTTATCATTCTAATTATATAGTCTAAAGACTTCCTTAATGATGATGATAATGATGATAGATAGATAGATAGATAGATAAAACGTCCATTATATTTCAATAGATGCAAATAATTTACTGATGCTGTGGAAGGTATTAGCTATACTTTAAATATACAATAATATTTTTTGAGGCATATACAAAATTAGTTGATAAAGGGATGTTGATTCTCAGGTATGAGAAATAGAACCATTATTCAAGGCTAAGGTGTACAAGAACACTCTGTGTATTAGAGCCTAATAGTGTAAGATAAATACTATAATAAGGACATCTACATATGTCAAGAAAGAAGCTCTGGTGGGAAAGAAGTGGATTGTCCAGTCCCAGCTGACCTCTTTCAGCCAATATCATGAATGGAAGAGACTAACTGAAACCACAGAATCAGGAGTACCACAAATGATGCTATTTCTAGATACTGAATTTTGGGGGTGGGTTGTCATAAAGCTATAGGTGAATGACATAGCCCAGTATATCACAAATCTTCTGCAAATCCTGGAAAACTGATCATTAAGGCACCACGATTTGGACAAAAGGGAAATCACCAGACAACCATCTCTTTCTGGAGGTATCTGGACAATTGAGACTCAGCATCAGGTGTTAAGGAAAGAGGAAAAATCAGTGTTGGTTGCTTAAAGCGGCACTGAGAATATCCTACCTTCTGTAGTCTGATACCAGTTTAAGCAGGTCCTCAGCTGAAATCTTGCTACTTTCTTGTCTATACAATGGTGAGAATCTTGAGTCTCTGTCCACATTTCCCTGGTTGTCCTTAAATACAGATCTGGAGGAAAATAATGTTTACTCAGGTTTATAGTTGGTTACTGCTTAAGAAATTGTGTTTTTAAGGAGGAAAATTAATGATCATTTTAATTCATAATTGAAAGAACTCAAGGGACTTAACAAAATAAAAAGAAACCAATTCTTAGAGTTTTCATTTATAAACACCACATTTTTTTTTATCATATTTCTCATTTTTAACTATTTATCTAAAGTGGGAATTGTTTCTGTTACAACTGTTTTTTATGTTTTCTTACATTTAACACAATATCAAAATCTTGGAATATTAGGGGAGTTGAAAAGAAATACATTAATTTGCGTGTGTGTGTGTGTGTGTGTGTGCATGCAAGGCTCCCATCTATCTTGTTTTGTAAGTATGATCTCTCACGGGCCTGAAACTCCCTGAAGAGGCTAGCTGATTGGTTCGTACGCTCCAGGCATCCTCCCGTGTCTGCATCCTCCATGGTACCATGACAGCCACACACCATCATGTTCGGTTTCTTACCTAGATTCGATAGCTCAAACTCAGGTCCTCATTTTCCAAGGCAAGCACTTCACTCATTGAGCTATCGTCTAAGATCCCCTTTCTAACTGTTTCCTCAAGGTGCCCTAACCTGGTCTAGGAGGGGCCGCGGCACCTTGGGGGGTGTCATTAGGATTGATGAGTGTGCAACAAGGATCAGGTTGTCATTACGACTGTGGCACGATAGTGAGATTCTTAAAATGTCGTTGTAAATGAGCCCATGTTCTAACGTTTAGGACACAAATAATGATAAAATGCAGGAAATATGAGTCAGAGTTTGGCATTAGATAAGGCTAACATTATGTTGCTCCCTTCCTTGATCCCGCTTCATGGTAGCTATAACACCGTGCTTAAAGCACATAATTGCTTTGATCTAAGTTATGAAGTGAGGTCAGGCAATATTCACTTGGCATGCTCTCTGCTCGTGACAGCCCCACCCCACACCTATTATGCATCCAAAAAAATTCAGCCCACATATAATTGCTTTTTCTTCAACAGCGGAGAAATGTTGGATTTTTATTTCTCCTAGTTGAAGAGCCCTAACTAGAATATTTTATCATTTAAATGAATCAAATATTTTAATAAAGTAGCTAAAATGGCTTTGAAAATGATATCAACCATAGATTTTAGTGTAGAGGAACATGAAAAAAAAAGGAACATGGGCTAGAAACGTATTGAAATGATATTTTTAGACTCTGAAATTACCTCCTTATAGTTCTGTTGCAATTCTTGTTGAGCAGTAACGGGGAGGGAGGATAATCTCTCCTTGATAAAACTTTAATGAAATAACATCAGGAAAACATAATAAAAATATCTAACTTGAAGACTAGAGAGAGAGAGCTCAGCAGGCAAAAGGCACTTGCAGCCAAGTCTGCTGGCCAAGTACTTCCTAAGGCCAGCACAGTAGACGGAGAGAGCCTATGTCTGCGGATTGTCCTCTGAACTCCACATGAGAGCTGTGGCAAGCTGCGCATGCCCTCTCCTGCCCCCACCCCACAAAATACATAAAAACGTGGTAAGAATTTCAAAACATTTAACTTAAAAATGGCTTTTGTATAAACAATGTATGTGAGCTGTATTCTCCACTTTGCTCATACCCACAGCTGTCTTGTGGAAATCTCTTACTTGGAATAGCCATTCATGAAGTTTACTGTAGCCTGAGCGCTTTGGTTTTGATCCTTCTACCTCGCTCTCTCAAGTGCTACGGTCAGAGGCATAGAACATCCTGTGGGTCTTAGACATTTCTCTGCGTGTGTGGAGACAGCAGATGAAAGACAAAGCGGCTGCTAGGGCCCAGCATGGGCCCATGACTATGATCTCAGCGCTGGGGTACTAAAGACAACAGGAGGATCGGGTACTCAAAGCCACTATGAGCTATACATACAGCCCCATCTCAAACTAGAAAAAAAAATCTCTGCAAGGACTGAAGATGTACTTCAGAGGTAGAGCACCTGTCTACTATTCATAAAGCAGAAAAAAATGTTAATTTGGTTGATTGACAGTTTCCGTTGGATAAAAATACATTACCTAATAATTATAGAATGACAAAAGGAGAGATGGACTTGGTGAGGGTATACAAGGAGCTTTGTCATGGCAAGATGCACATGGACGTGGACCACCACCCATTGGGATGCTGTCAGTGTGAGAATCTTAGATCATGCTGCACTGTGCATCTTCAGATGTACAGATATGAGAGTGAAACTGTATTTTAGCCCTGATCAATTCTGAAGGAAGTTGAGCGCTGTCTGGTAGTCATTTATAAGGTAAAATGAGACAGAGTCCACGAATCTGTGAGCTAATCCTAGCAAGGACTTGGGTTCCTATGATCCTAGAGGTGATATGCATTGGAAAAGCTTAATTGCAATAGGACATATTTCTAAATTCAACATCTTTTAGAATTGCTAATTATAAATTATCCCACAAAGCTGTGTGTGTGTGATCTGCATCTATTCAAAAGATAATCTTTTTGCTAAAAAGTACAGCTGGTACCGAATCTGAGAACATACCAGAAAAATTTCAAATTAGATGCTCACAGCGAAGAGATCTGTGTGTACTGCAGCAGCTGGGTAAAAATCTGGTTCCAAGCAACTGTTAATGCTACTGTTTTGACTACAGTTGCTTTCAAATGTTTTAGGGTACACTCACAGCTATACTGTGAAACAAACCATGAGATGAAAAATAAAGCAGGAAGGCAATGCCAATGGCGATTTGGCGTACCAACAGTGTATTTCCTGTGTTCTGGATCTGGTCTATACCAGGCCTTCAGAGGGTCCCGCCTTCTCTTAGCTTAAGTAGTGTCTCCACTGGAAGGTTGGATAGAGACTGCTTCTTTGGGTGATTTGTTGCTTTCTGAAGTTAGATATTTCAAATGACCCAACATATAATTTCTGCATGTTCTGCCATTTTTTTCTCTCATTTGCCAGAGAAGCTCACATAAATTGAAGTCATTTTGGTGGGGTAACAGCTCACTAACCAACAGCTGAATGGCTCACTGGGCCCTAATACAGCAAGGGCTTGTGGCTTTGCTAACTTTCTTTTCCTAGCAATAATTCTTCTAAGAACTGATAACACGTTCAGACCCCATGGAAGCTTCATCTGTCTCCCTCACAGTTGGTTGACAATTTTTAGAGTCAGGGTGTTACTTCTAAGGGTCATTCTGCCAATAATCGACACATTATATACTTCTGTCCACCATACTACTCTCCATTGACCAAATTTACAAGAAACGTGGGAGTTGTGGAACATGGACTCCACAATGAATTTCAATAATAATGATAATTAATAATAATGACAATATATACCATGTTTTTCATGTCTACTGTTAGTTATCTTGGTAAGAAAAGATGGGAAGGGAGAGATAAAATAATATCCATGATGTCTTTTATACCAAATCCTTGTACATCTGTTTTTTAATAGAACATACTGCTCATGAGACAGATATTTTCTGCTCATTCTACAGATGACACTCTGGAGCCAGAGAGCGATCTTGCTCAGTGATCCATTAAGGGGTGACCTGAGCCTGTCAGCTTTGGTGTGCTTACCAGGCTTGGCAACCTGGCTCTCTTGCCCTTGCTGCAAGGTTGTCTGAATGCAAGTCAGTCCTTGCAGCCAGCAGGGATTTGTCTTGCCTTACTGGTGCTGGCGTCCTTCTATCCTTCTACCTGCCAGCCCCCAATTTGATGGCTGTAGCATTCTGACACATACTGGTGGGTTTTCTCTGAAAGTGTCCCTCAGTGGAAGCTGTGTGAACTGAAGAATACCCAACAGGTCAACCCTTCCATCTGGCCTTTGCATCTTGAGTTGAAGGGACTGCCTTTGGGTTAACGCTGTCAACATTCATTAAGGGAGTGTTTTGTTCCAGGCTTGTAATTAATCTCTTTTCATTCAGCTAGTTCATTGCTGATCTTTAATTGTTTTCCTTATGAGTATATGCCAGGGTTTCTCCCATTTAAAGAATTCTTACATCAATGCAGGTGTAGTGAGTTTGTGAGGGACGCTTGGAGTTGATGGGTCAGTAGATCTGAAAAGCAAGTTCTATTCTTAACAGAGGTTCCGTTTTTTTTTTTTTTTTTTTTTTTCCAATGAAGGGTCTGCTACTTGTGCCCAAACACCAAATTTTCCAACAGAGTCAACTGGGGATATAATTGTCTGTGCTAATCTACACGCAAATCAAAGACAGCATAAGTGAGCAACTGATGGCTTCATTTGGTCACTCACGTTCAGAGCAGAATTCTATGCCCAAATGAATGCATGAAGGTATACCGGAAAGAATGATCTATCTCTGCTTATCGTATGTCCATTAGGCTCTTGGGACTGACCAAACACTGTGTTCATTGAGCCAGATATGCACGAACAAGCTATGATTTTGATTCGATACTTACTAAGAGACCCCAGTACATTTGGCCATGCCCCCACTGTTTGCAGGTCTGGGGCCTTCTGTATAACCTGTCTTGTTGAGCTAAATTGTGAAGTGTATGTCTGAAGATGACAACATACTAACATTTCTTGATGCACAATAGGCAACATTAAACATTCAAAGCCATAGCTTCTGATGCAGATTGTTAGGACATCTCTACTCTGTTAGTTGCAAAGTAGAACCTTACCTCACAGCCCAAGCAAACGGCATCCGATATTTCCCCAATTTGCTACAGAACTGCCTATTGGATTTTAGTACTTTTTGTGCAAACTGAGGAAAAAAATAAATAAAATATTATTTAGGGACAGTCAATTACAAATTGTACATGTGAAATAATAATGCTTATTTTTCCACTTTATTATCTATTGAAATTCTATACAGTTTCTTCTTACTGGCACACAGATTACATATGATACCCTCTGTGTTCAAGTTATTGTAGAACTCTAGGCTCTCTTTGTTAATTTGCAAATTTTAAGTATAGAAAAATTCCCTAATCTTGAAATATCAATTATTATCCACTCACCTTGCTTCTCTTCCTGCCTTGTTCCCTCCCTTCTTTCTAGCTAAGAGAAGTTAAAATCTTGAATGAAAAGTTATCAAGTTTATATTTACAATTGGTAGCAAGCAGATCACAGCTTTTTTATTCATCCAACAAGAGACTTTCTGTGAAGGACTGTGTGGGCCCTGCATTCTCTGTCACACATTTCTCAGATCTATTGCTATAGTGCGGGGTTAGCTGCAGGGAAGGCGAAGACACTTACATTTTCAGAGCTGGAGCAAACCCAGGGCTTCACACATTCTAAGCAAAGTGGGACTGAATGGCAATAAAATTTTATTTACAAAAGCTGGTAGCAGGTTGGGTGTGGTCTGATCAGATAGTTCGCTGGACAATGATATGAGAAACTCATAAACATGTTAAACTACAGTCTAAATTGTACATGTTCAGATTCTCTGGTTTTGAGTTATTTCCTTGTTATCTTTCTTTTGTATGGAAAATAAATACTTTAAATAATTTATCTTCTAGTAAACAGAGGTAATTTCATAATTTGATTATTAAATAACAAGGCAATGGAAAGAAAAAGCAAAAAAAAATCACTGGTCTTACCATTCAGGCCACATTGCTCCTCATGTCTATCTTCCTGTAATTCTCTGTTATAATATTTAATATATAATGTTTGTCTTTGCTATTGAGTCCATTGTCAACTTGCTGATAGTTTTGCAAACTGACTTCACTCGATTCTGTTCTAACTTTGTTATTGTATAAATCCTTTGATCTTTGGGACTAAAGCAATATAAAAATTATAGTTTACTTCTACTAATACAATGGTTCAACTTGAGGGGCACAACTCCTTGGGGGCTTGAATGACCCTTTCACAGTGGTCACCTAAGACCATGGGAAACACAGATATTTACATTATGATTCATAACAGTAGCAAAAGTAGAGTTATGGAAGAGCAATGAAAATGATTTTATGGTTGGGGGTCATCACAACATGGGGAACTATATTAAGGAGTTATAGCATTAGGAAGACTTAGAACCACATAACAGATTCATAGACATCATAGACTGTTGACTCAAAAAAACATAAACCAAAAATGTATAATTTAAAATTTTTTGGTAGGTATTAATTATACTGGTAAGTGAATATTAAAAATCATACATTTATCAACTTTTATAATTCAGGAAGGCAGCATGACTCTATTTCTTTAAAGCGACTGAAATTATTTATAAGACTATCATCTTTACCTTGTTGGAGTCTGGATTCTTAATATAAGGTTCGGCACCACTCCCAATATTCCCCATTAGGACTTTTTCGACTTTGGCCACCAAAACAATTTCAGAGTGTGGATCACTCACAGAGAATATAGCCTGTGCCCAAAGAAAGCAGTACATAACTACCATAAAATGACCCTGAAGACATTCACAAAATGTCATTAAAAAGAAAAGACAGTTTTAAGAATTTTTTTTTGGAGGGGGCGAGGTAGGGGGATTACCCATATGACCTATTGTTAAGGAACAATCTAAGGGCCAAGGCTTTTCTGTCCCCTCACAAGTAAACAAAGTGCAACCTGCTTTGGGAATTTTAGCCATTCCTCCGGAAGGCCCTTTATGTGAGGTTCTTCTGATTGTCCTGGCGTGCCCGTGTCAATGTTGCCATTTTCCAAGGCTGGTGGGGCCCCCGAGAGCATCTGCCGGACAGCAGGGTGATTCAGATCTACGTGGAAATCGGCAGAGATCTTCCTGCTTTCTCTGAGGTCATAAAGCGCCACACTCACAAAGAAAGGCTCAATCTGTGGGGAAAACAAAAGCCAAGTGCTTCTGACATAAAACAATGCCCGCCCACCAGTCTGTGTACCCCCTGCATCTCACAACACGTTGGATGCAAGATAGGCAGAAAGCAAGGTCTCTGATCCAGTGAGAAGTATCTGGAATCCCTCCCTGCAACAGAGGCCGCCAAGCCCAGGGCTGCCTCTCATTTGTTTGTTGACCTTAGATTCCCACCTAATCTTCAAGCACATTAGGCTTGAACAGCCTTCTGTTTGCTTTCCCATACTCTAAGAAAATACCTTTTATCCCAGTCTCCCCAGATCCTTAAAGAACAGATGGGATCCTAAAAGTTTTTAGCCCAACTGCTTTTCAGACTTTCCTCCCTCCCTCCCTCCCTCCCTCCCTCCCTCCTTCCCTCCTTTCTTCTCTCTTTTATATTTTTTTGAGACAGGGTTTCTCTGTGTAGCTCTGGCTATCCTAGAACTTGCTCTGTAGACCAGGTTGGTTTCAAACTCAAGAGATCCACTTGCTTGGATTAAAGGCATGCTCCACCGTCATGCAGGTAAATGAGTGGCCCAGGCTGGCCTTGAATTGGTGATCCTCCTGCCTCCAACTCCTTTAACAAATCCTACCAGCATGTGCCACCAGAACTGGCACATTTCATTTTTTTTTAAATCACAGCTTGAAATAAGAATAATAAAGTTTATTTCACACTGACTTTGTGCTTTCTACTATTTTCTGTATTTTTAATACATTCAGAACATAATAGCACGGCACAAATGAGGATCTGCTTGTGAAAAGCCCTGTTGTCAGAGAAGATGGGAACTCCTCTAAAAAGAAGTCAGTACTTAAGAGGAGGTTTTAAAAAAGATATCACTTATTCTCTTTATTTTGTACTAATTTTGAAGCTCACACTTCTAGCAGCAGGGTCAACTCTTTCAAAAACTCTGACAACTAACTTTAACTTCTGGTCACCTTGCCATCTGCCAGTTTTCTTGACCCTAAGGTTACCATTTTCTATTCAATAATATTTGTAGATATATATTCCAATATGATCCTCTGTGAATAGGGACTACGCTTCTGTTTCCTGGTCACCCAGAGAAAAGTATGGGCTCCATCAGCAATATTATTTTGCTTATTCATTCAGGTTCTTTGTTGGTTCCCAACCACGCCAATCATCTTTTCTAACTGCCTTCTCCATACTATCCTAGACCCATATCCTGACAGATCTAGTAGCAAGTCACTTCTGTGCCTTTGGGTGGCTTTCTCCTTTTCCTGCCCAGGGCTCAGGGATGCTCACTTAAGTCTAAGCTTCCACGGAGTTATCCACCTACCCTGCCCCCAGATGTTGTGAAGGAAACTGAAGGTGAAAAATAAGGCAGAAAGGGGAAAGTGACGGCATCTGAGAAACGGGCAAGTTGCTTGCACTAGCTTTAAAGAAGGACTTAGGTAGAGTTTGTTCAGGGGCTCCTAGACAAGACAAATGGTAAAGACATAATGAAAGGAAAGGACCCCAAAAGCTCACTAGACTGGAATCAGCGTGAAGGTAAAATTCAGGAGCTGCCCAGGTCCTTAAGAGAAACATTATGGCCAAAGCAAAACACAGTACTGCACAAAGAGTATTTCCAGGTCTGCAAGCATAGGAACCTAAGCTCATGATAATGGTCACTGACACAGGGGATAAAGACACAAAGACAAATTCTTTATGAAACACAGAATGTCCTCTGCAAGACATCTCAATGGCCATAGGTATATGAGCTTTGGGTTTCTGGGTCAGTCAGGAGAACTGGGCTGGAAGTCTGGATCTGGAAGCTTTTTGAATGGAACTCCTATGTAAGCCGTGATGCACAGCTGTGTTGTTTTGAATGGAATGGCTCCCATCGACTCATATGTTTGAATACTTGCTCCTCTGTTTGTAGAACTGCTTGGGAAGGATTAGAAGGTGTGGAGTTATTGGAGGAGTTCTACCACTGGGGACAGGGTTTGAGTTTTCAAAAGACTGGAGCTATTCCCACTGTAGTCTGACTCCTGGTTGAGGATCAAGATGAAAGCTCTCTGTTCCTGCATGTCTCTCTCCACCATCATAGACTCTAACCCTTTGAAACTGTAAGCCCAACTAAACACTTTCTTTTACATGTTTCCTCACAGCAGTTTCGTTACAGCAGTAGAAATGATAAATAATGCAAGAGAGAAGAAAGTCAGTGTAGGTTTCTGTGGAATAGCAATGGGCAGAGAACAGAGAGAGGCCAAAGCAGTTATAAAAGAGACTGGGTAAAGCCTGGGAACCAGAAAGGGGCTGATGAGACTGGAAAAGAGAGACTCTGAATGAGAAAGGTGGGGGAGACAATGGAACATGCGGAAGGGGAAATATTGGGGGTGAAAGGACACAATGATGAATGGGTGGGATGCTGGTGGGGGTGTCTGGGAGAATGAACCAAATAAAGTATGTATGAAAACAGCATGAATCTGCTACTTTGTAAGCCAAATAAAATTAACACAGAATATTCAAAATAAAATTAGAGAGTGGGAAATGGAGAGATATTGTGTCTTCCCTTCATTCCTTTTTTCTTTCCCCCGTCCTCCCTTCTTCCCTCCCTTTCTTCCCTTTTGCATATGGCTTCACATGTACCAGGTAAACGTTATACCATTAACCTCATACCACAACTCAGAAAAGCCAAAAAATGAATAAAAATATTAAATGCTGCCAAAATATGATAGAAACAAATATTCAAGATATAAAGGATGTTTAACCAGAAAAGTGTTAAGAGCAGCAAAAATTAAGGGATGGGGGCTCAGGCCAGTGGTGGCAGTGCTGATTTAGTATGTGCACAGCCCTGGAATGAAAAAAATGGAAATGTGTTAAATTATGTAAAATATGTATACATAATTTTGTACAAAATTTACATAGATACATGAATGGATAATTAAATATACTAGATAAATGAATATAATTAAATATACTTAAATATTTAAATGATAATAAGTATAGTAGATATGCGTGTGTGATTTTGTAGCTATGCAGTTAAGTAGGGGTTCTAAAAGATTGTCAACAAATAGAATTTTACTTCTGTCTGCCAATATTCTCTGAAAAAGTAGGCTGTACAAAGCCCTGCATCCCAACTAACGCACAGTGTTGCAGGTTCATTCTGTGAGTCTTGTTAAATATCCTCCGGCCTTTGAGGTCTATCACACGACTAGCTTGTAACAGAGGTACTGTTCAGTCATTTAATGATAGTGAACTTTCTCACTGTTAGAGATGGTTCCTAGTTAAAATAAAGTTCAACACTGTCTCTTTTGAGGCTGCAGAGGCAGCTTAGACAGTAAAAAGCTTGCTGTGCGATTGTGAGAACCCGAGTTCAAATCCTTATTTCTATTTTTATTTTTTTATTTTTTATATGTGGCTGTTCTGTTGAACTTGTCCATATTGGGTTTCATGGTCTAAGTTGATGAGGGCGAATAATCCTTATTCCCCACCCAGCATTGAGGACTACACTCCACACATGTGCATGAATTTATGTGAGCGTGCATCCTCACATAAACATGTACACAATACCACACACACACATGCACACACACACACTTTTGCGTACTTAAATGTAATTACTGAGTAGAATTTTCATTTTAGTAATTTAATTTAGTTTAGAAAAACTCTTCATGGTAGTTGCAGTGTGCTAAGAAGTTGAAAATGCAAAAATAGAGATTAGTGTAGGTACACAAAACACTTTGAAGTTCAAGAAATCGAAATCACTGTTTTTTCCTGAGTTGTTGCATTTTGACCTTCATTCCCATTTGTTGAATGGAAATAAATTACCTCCATTAATAACACATCAGAAATTATACAGCTCCAATGAGATTTGTTTATTTTTCCAATCTGCATTCACAACGAAAATGCCAAACCTTACTTTTTGAATAGCTGGCTTTGCAGGATGGATGTGTTTAACAAAACATTTTCAGAGCCTGACACATTAATTTGTAGGCTACTGGGATTTAGGCTAATGAATTCCTTTTGAAAATTCAAGGAGAGGAAAATTTAAATTTAGCTACTATGACACTGCTGTGTGAGTTCAGACTGCTGGAGTTTCACAGAAATATACTGTGAAACCATCAGCTAGGATTTGGTGTTCTATTTGACTGAAAAATCACACACTGTCAAAGTCTGCTTCTTCGCCATAAAAGAAGTCTTTCATTGAGTCTGTAGACACTCGTGTATGAAATGCAGCGGTTAGCTCTCCCAGAATGTGGAGAATGGCTCTTCAAAACACGCTCATCAAAGTTAAGAATGGCGAGGTCCAAGAGCATCATTAGTGGAAGCGTGCCCCTGGATAAACACGAGCTTTTCCCGAACAATCTCACTCAAAGATAAACTACCACCAAAGTAAGGCTGTTGATTGATTTTGATCTGATTACTAACAAGTGCAATGCAATTATTCTTTAAAAGTAATTCCCTAGTTTATTTTTTAAATACTTCTATCTATTGTAAGATTACTTAAAACCAACTCAGAAGCTCAAAACCAACTTAACTAACCCCTTGGCCTGAGAGACAGGAAAGGGCATGCAAAAGCCACTCTCAGGGGCTGTAGGGATGACTCATTGTTCAAGAGCATTGGCTGCTCTTGCGGATGGCTCAAGACACACATTCACACACACACACACATGCAAAACTAACACACATGAGCTGAAATGGAATAAAATTAAATACAAATCAAAATGTTTCTAATAGGATACTCTGTTGAGACTTGAACAAATAGAGCCATGAGGCTTCTGAACATGATCCACATGGAAGGTGTCACATGCCTTTGGCACTGGAAAGAAAAGCCCATTGTCTGCTGGAGCTTGTTTGCAGGTTCACAGAGGAACACAGCTACTAACGTGTCCTGCTGTCCTTCTGTCGTGAAAGGCTGTGCCCTTTAACCAAGTATACAGCTTCCAGGAAAGACACACATTGAGTGGTGGGGGACACTAGAGATATGTGCCTAGCTAGCCAGATCATTCGAATCAATGCTGGTGATCAATGGGGAGGGGGCAGAGAACAATGACAGATATTATCATGGCCCCATCCCCCTCAATCCAAAAATAAGCCCTTTTCTTTGACTTTTGGTTTCCAAAATGGATTTTTAAATTGCACTTAAGAATGGGTTGGATGGAAAACATAGATTTAAAATATTCATATTTTTAATGTAGATCAATGTATGAAATGATAAAGCCCATTTTTTTTTATATAGTGTGCTGACTAAGTGGCTTTACAATTTGGATCAAGTTTTCTTAAATTTCCAAATGGTTACAAGGACAAAGATTTTGGGCACTGTGGTTTGCTTTATGTTCAACACAAAAGCATGGTTTGATCCCTTCTAATATCTTTTTCCACAGGGGAAGGTCAGATCTCTGATATCAAGCCTGTTGTTCCTTCTCTAACTCCTGTTTCACAGTCTCAGGACCATCACACACAGTGGGCTTGTTCCCTCTCCGTGCTTTACCCCACATTTCTCTGGTTTATCTTTCTTCTAACAGCAATTCCTTCTTAGCTTTCTGCTGTTGACTTTACTAGTCCCCCTCTCTATGCATGCAGAAATTGTCAGATGACTCCTCCCAGGTCAGCTTCTAAACTAGATTTTCAGATCTATGTATCCATTCATAATCACCTTTTCGAGCTGAATGAATCTTACACTGCACCAAGAACCCAGAACTTTCCATAGGTTACCTATTTGAATGCTTGCTGTTACTCCCCCTCCCCGCCCCATTTACATAGAGGAGGCTGAGGTCAGACACCTGAGCAAGGGGCACAATTCCTAAGTTGAGAAACTAGGGAATTTGATCCAAGGTGTCCATTTCAATAGATTCTCCTCATCAGATAGGATGTACAAAGTATGGATCTATCCTGTTACTACTGTAGTAGGTAGGAGGCTTAAAGAGGACAGAGGTGTCAAGGACAAAAGGTTAGGAAGTCTCTGGGAGAGTCAGTCAATCCTGCAACCCACTGTGTCCCGACTCTCTCATGGAGGCAGGTGGAGGACTGGGTAGAACCAAGCAAGTGAACATTGCCACTCTTGCCTTCGAAAGCACATACGGCTTGTGTATCATGAACTCGAAAATAAAGGGACTTTTCTGGGTGGAATACGGCAACTGAGGCTGAATAGAAGCCAGAAAAGAAGCATTGTAAGGGACTGAGGGAATACACCCAGATCATTGACTGCGGCTTGTGCCAATGGCGGGGTCGGGGGGATGACTTCTCCTCTCTGCAGTTCCACATCTAATGTTCTTTTCGCATGCATTTGCAATCAGTCTAAAATGGTCCACTATTATGTTCCTACTAAATGGAGATTCCCAAGAGAGTTCCCTCAGTACAAGAAGAAATTCTGTGTGGGTTTGGTGTCCTGTGTATTAGGTGTTTGTTAATGCCGCCATTGCGTAGAACATCCAGTCTTTTACTTAATGTTTATCTAGTATTTCTTTTCTTGGTTTATCATTTAGTCTTATGTTAAGCAGGAACACAGTGAAACCCTAGAGTGGATTTGTTAGCTGACTTTCCTTCAAGTGAAAGCAAAACATAGATATCGGTTTAAAAGCCATCTTGAATCAGGCATGGTGGTGTGCACTAGGCATCCCAAGCACCCAGAGAAATTGAGCCAGGATGATCACGGGTTCCACGCTAGCTGGAGCTTCTCAGTAATACCTTGTCTCATAAAACCAAAGGCTAGTGATAATGGCTCACAGGAAGAGCACTTGCCTAGCGCTTGTAAGGCTCCGAGTCCTACCCTCAACACCACAATCAGTAATTCTATTCTCACTGCCACCAGAGAGATACAGACAATCCTGGAGGAAACCACTGCGCTGACTTTGTACAAAGGACTCCACAACACTGTCCCTTTGTTGCTTCTTCAATATATAAGTTAAAAGGAAACTTTTATAGCCGTATGTGAAGAAATCTTCTTCGGAACATGGGTACCTTTGCAATATGAGACGCACTGGCAAATAGACTCCCTGTTTGCGAGACAGTAAATCCTGGGATTGGCGGGAGTAGCAAAGGCTGGGTTAGAATGGAATGATATGAGCTCACTGGATATATGAGAGAGAATGAGAGAGAAGCTTACATTGGTTATGGGATCATTTTCATTTTCTGTAACACATCCCTGAAGATTTAAGTTGAGAGCTTTACAGATGATCATGATTCTCTTGGCAGCTTTCTCTTCAAAGGGTTTGATCACACACTCTTGTTCAAAAAAGTCTTTTTTCTGAAGCTTCAGGGTCTAAAAAAAAGTGTTTAAAAGTCTTAGCCAACTCATTATGAAAAGATAACTTTTAAAATTGACAGTTATAGGGGTCAAGTTCATCTTTGCTCAGAATCCTGACTTACATCTATATCTGGATCCAGGGAGAACAGATTGAGCCTGTCCATGTTTCGCGTTGTTTTGACAGTGTCTTCAGTTTCTGTGAGGTACTGAGAGAGAGCTGTGTTAGTCCCTGGCATCTAAACTTCCCCATGTAGCCCCAGACACAACTACAGAGGCCAAGAAACAGTCCCTTAGTTTTATTACTGTTAAGTCATCCATCAACACCAAGGAAATCTTATAAGAACAGGTTCTTATTTTCAAGAGTTGTGTCAGGTTAAGTAAAGCTCTAAGACTGATAAAAAAAATTCTAGATTGGCCTTTTAGTCTAAATCTTAAAGGAAAGCATCGGCATTTTTTTTCCATGAAAGAAACATATTTGTGCAAATACAGAGTCAACTTTATTACTTTTGCAAAGTCGGGATGTAGGCTGTTCTCTGAAGAATCTGTTTCCTCCAGCGTACATTCACAAGTCACAGAATTATCCAAAGGATCTTGAAAAGACAGACCAACACAGATTATTTAATAATATGAGCCACGGTTTTCTTCATCTATACAAATATCGGGTTCAATTCAAGAGCTCAGAGGGGGCCTAATGAACCCAAGCTTTTTTTTTTTTTTGTCCTGTCTACAATACAATCGGGGCTGGAAATAAAACTTCCTGACAATCACTTTAGGATTCCATAATCCTTGCTATATGCCTTGCTATCATCTTGTATCACCAAGAACTTTGGATTCTTATAGTGCTGACAGGATATATAGGTTGCCTTGGCTTCCTTAAATAATGCACAACAAAATTTTCTCAAATATATAAATATTTTTCTAATTTTTATTCTTGGGTCATCCATTTAGAGCTCATTGGCTTCAGCCACTTAAACTCTGCAGAACACTGAAAACATGAATATTCTATTTGACAATTAATAAGTAAGTAAGTGACTGTAAAAACACCTGCCATGGCCTATGACAGTTGTGTGAAAACCAGCAAGCCTTCTTCCTCATTATCTGTGACTTTTTTACCTTATGGGACAGGACATTCATGCAAATAGAACTTAATGGATATGCTCTGGTTTCTAATTCACCACTGTCTTAAGGTTTTCCTTGGGGAGTACTAAATCAGTGGTAGAGAACCTCCCATCTATAAGATAAGACTTGATGGTTACACTCTCACCCTTTTTTTTTCTTCCTTTCTTTGTTCATAATGATTATAATATTATAAGGAAATGACTGGAAAAAAGAAATAATCTGTGAGTATATATGTGTGTATATGTTTGTGTGTGCCTGCACATGTGTTCATGTGTGTATAAGTTTGTGTGTGTCTACACATGTGTTCATGTGTGTATAAGTTTGTGTGTACCATATGTTCATGTGTGTATAACTTTGTGTGTGCCTGCACATGTGTTTATGTGTGTATATGTTTGTGTGCACATGCACATGTGTTCATGTGTGTATATGTTTGTGTGCACATGCACATGTGTTCATGTGTGTATATGTTTGTGTGCACATGCACATGTGTTTATATATAGGCCAGAGGTCAATATCTGTTGTTTTCCTCAGTGGCCTTCTGTATACTTTTTTATTGATCCATTTCTATTTGCTAATTTCAGACATGCATGTAACGTTTCCTGATTATCCTCCCGCTCTCTCTCTCTCTCTTATCTTGTGTCCCATTGCTATCACATCCTCTTTACATGTCCTTTCCACAGATTCAGGAGGTTTTGTTTCTTGACCCATTCAGTTTCACCAGGGCCATCCGTGACTAGAACTATCTGTTGGTGACTGCCCCCTTATTTTATGAGACAGGTTCTCTCATTGAATGCAGAGTTCACTGATATGGAAAGACAGGCTGTCCAGGAAGCTCCAGGCACGCCCCTGCCCCTGCTCCCTAGCATGTGCTTTATAGGTGCACACTGCTGCATTCAGCTTTTATACGGGTGCTGATATCTGAACTCACACCAAAACATTTATATGGCAAGGACTTTAGTGACTGAACTAATCTTTAAGTTTTTATTTTTGTCTTAAGAAAACACCATGACATATTACATTGGAACTTTCATATATCTGATACATGACATGACGGATGAGCCCAGTCTGACAGACAGCTACTACACACAGCCGCAGTGAACTAAGCACGCAGCTCAACACTTGTCCAAAGCAGGGAGATGATCTTTTGCACTCTTACCCAGCCCCAGCTCGGTAAGCTCTGCACTCTTCCTTCCCTGGAGTGGTCCCTCTGGACTGATCTGTAGGATGCGGTTGAGGGTGTGGATCCACTCGTCCATATCGGACTCCGTTTCAGCTGCCAGTACAAAGTAGGTCAGGTCGTTCATTTTCAACTCAAAGGCGTATTTCCTCAGCCTGTTATTCTGTGGTTTCAAAAGAAAGAACAAAACAATAAACAATATGCAGAGAGACATTGAAGTAGTCTTGGGATTCCAAAGTCTTTCCATCCAGGTGGGCAACAAGAAGAAAATCTTAGAGAACACAGTAGTGCTTTAGATGAGTCTAGTCATTTGGTTTTTTTTTTCCAGAACTGTTTGTACTGAAAATATTTTATACCTCTTTTAATTGCTTTGATGGTTACGGTGATAGTTTGTTTGTGATCTAACAAATAAAGCTTGCCTGAAGATCAGAGTGCAAAGTTAGCCACACTAGTCAGCCATCCAAGCCAGGAAGTGGTGGCACATACCTTTAATCCCAGCAGTCAAACTAGTTGGCCATAGAGGCTGGGCAAAGGTGGTGCATGCCTTTAATCCCAGCACCAGAGAAGAATATAAGATGGGAGGCGACAGGAAACTGGGGTCTTAGTCTGCAGTCTGAGGTCTGGTGGGGGAGCATTGCAGTCTATGGTTACTCTGAGGACAGGATAGTCCTTTTGTTTGTCTGAGCTTCAGTAGAGAGAAGAACTCTCTAGTTGCTTGGCTACTTTGCTTTTCTGATCTTTGGCTTGAACTCCAATATCTGTCTCTGGTCTTTTATCAGTCATGCAACAGCTGCCCTTTTGGCTTAAAATGATCAGCTTTAGGCCTACATGTGTGTAGTATGAGCCACGGGCTGCGTCCTTCTTCAGATAAAGGCTTTGAGGCACTGTTTTTATTTTGATACCTAAATTCAATCACTCATGCTAATAACTAAGTCTTCTGACCCCATAACTCTCTAGATACATCACCTCCCAAAGCATTAACCAGCTTCATGAATGTTGCTTGAGTCCCCAGGGACATTTATTTCTTTGAATCCTCCTTGATCCTTTAGCATAGTTAAAATATTAGCCATTACTTTATTAAAACCCCGGATATCCTGAACCCGCACTCTACCTGGTTTTCTTTCCACCTGTCAGTCTCTGCACATTCCTGTACTTACTGATGGCTCTTCCCTCCGAGTGCCATTTCTCCAAGCAAAACCTTTGGCTCTGCCTTAAATTTTTTTTTCAATTTCACAGAATCTAAAGGCTCCAAATATCATCGACGGATAACAACATGCAATCCAACATCTGCATTCTTCTTTAATTTCACATCTCTACACTGTATTTTGTGACCAACCAAGGAGGCCTTGCTAGGGTTCCCTGAACTGACCCTGTAACATCATTCCTGTTGAAAGGAGCCCCACCCACATATTCTCCAGACACAGTGAGCAGACATTGTTTCTCATAGGCTGGCATGGTTTGTATTCCTTCTTCAAATTTCAACTGAAAACATTATTCAAATTCCCAGCCTAGACAGGGCGACAAATGTTCTTGGTTTCTGGAGTATGTAAAATAATTGGAAGTACATATTTTATTCTTATTTTAAATTCACTTTGACAAATATAGATATCCTTTAACCTTATTTTTGTGATGGTTTCGATAGTTTTGTTAAACACTGGGTCTTATAACAGTTCACACAGGGTCAAAGCAGTCATATTTTACAAAAAACAGAGTAAGCTAACTTCTAAAACTGGTAGTAGGGTTGGGAAATTGTGAATGAATACGTGATTTGAAGGAATGACCGATATATCAATATCTATCATCTATCAATCAAATAATGGAAAACTAGTGGTGAATAGGGTTAAGATATGGGCCGATTGCTGAATGGATTCTTTATGTTGGGTGATCAAGAAAGTCCTTCCCCAGAAAGTGGGGTATAACTTGAAATCTGTAAAAGGAGGGGGAAAGGAGAGAGGGGGCACATACACAAACAGTTGTGAGTTTTTATATATTCCAGCTCCAGATGAGAAATGTAAAACCAGAATGGAAACCGTCTAAAGTAATGGGCATAGGTTTCTAGTCACAGCAAAAAGACATAGAGAAAAGGGTCCTGTTCCACTTCCATATCTGTGATCCTGCTGTCACCTGGAGCTGGGCTGGGTGAGCACTGTCACATTCATGATACAGAGTCACACCTTTTCTGCGTACAACAGATTACACAGTGAGACAACACAAAAGCTTTGAGATGATGAACAGTCACGACGTGAAGGGGAAGGAGTAGTTAGCAATGAGGTTTATTGTAGTTCTTAGCCTGAGCAAATGTTCTTCTGTCAAGTCTCCCATGGAGCTCATTGCTTCTCCCTCTGTACCATTGTCTAGGATTATGTTTGTTTTGTAATGACTCACTCACAGGTCTGGCTCTCGAACAATTCACCAGTCCCACGTGCAGAAGCTAACACTTTACCTTTGTCATTTAGTGCAGTGATGGTTTACTGCCACAAGGTAGGGGTCTGCTATGTTGGCATTCTGTACTGGGCAAAGCTCACTTCGTCTCTGGGCTTGCAGAATGGGAGAGATAAATGTTAAACACCTATCCCTAGAAATATAAAAGTGGAAAATAAGCCTACTGAAATTTCACATAAATTTTTTGAAAAGAGATACTACATTCTGTAAGGACACAAAATAGGATTATTTGGACAAAACAAAGTAATTATTAAGATTTGCATTTTGATAGCAATTCAAATAAGATGGGAAGAAAAACAGACAGGCAACAGCCTCCAATTTGGTATTTAAAGGGAACATCTAGGGAGCTTAAGAATGCAAAGCCCTAGATGCTCTATGTGGGATGGGTAAGCAGACTCGCTCCATCCACCTCCATGATGCCCTTTGGGTAAACTGTGATGCAGGAGGCTTAAAGCTGCCAGAGACTCTCACAAAACAGAGGCTCTACAGGCAAAGACAATGGGGCTAGAAAGTGGGTTTCCTGTTAAGGTTCTGCTTTTTCACTTGACAAGAGAAGTAGAAGCACACACCTAGGAAAAAGCTAGGGATGTCCAGAGCATGGGGCATAAGTTCTGTTTGGATGTTGTCAAGATCTGAATATAGCACAATGCAAACAAATCTTAGTGTTGTTTGGAAATTCATGCAGAATCTATCGACTAACCCAAGGCTCGATATAACATGGACTAGCAGTAAAAACTACAGCAAAAGTTTCTTTGGGGTCAGAATCAAAAGTGGGTCCAACCTCAATTTGCTTTGAAATCCAGTGTTAGTAGCAAAGCTTGGGTTTCTAAACTGCATTCTGTATTTCGCATGAGTTAAGCATGGTCGTCAATGTTTTAATAATTCAAAAGCATTACTAAAAATATGTATCTTTTAAAAAAATTTCAGCAAAGTATAACCAGCTCTTATGTCTCCAAACAGGACATTTATAAATAAAATGGACATTGTGTTTGCGCTTCATAGGAATGGAGCTATCTGCAGTGTATAACAGCTAACAGGGAGAGTGGTGGCAAAGCTGGAAGGATGCCTATGCTGGGAATGCTTTCTGATCTCACTCTCTGTACTGCCAAAGAGAGCCACAGATAGGGAAAAACAAACATGGGAAGTCAGTAAGATACTTGAATAACTCCGACATGAAATTACTGTCATTGAAATAGTAACCAAGAGGTAATGACAATTTTTATACTCTCTCAGTTTCCTTTCTTTTACTTTGTCGTTGATGTATGGTTTTGCCCAGTCCAGAGCACATGCCTCCATAAACAACAGGGGATGCAGCATGCCCTATGGCTCTGCAATGTGCTTTGTGAATGGTGATAGCCAACCAGAGTGCATTAAAGCATCCCAATTACACAGACTGTAAGGACAGTATGAATGTCAACAGAGGACTCAAGGATAAACAGGAGATTGCCCAAACCAATCTCTCCATTATGGCTGCTTTGCCACTAAAATTGTTTGTGGAATTTTATAGGAAGCGAAAGACAATGATCAAACACATGACATCCCATTCAGGCTCATGATGCTGGTGGCTCATGAGGATATAGGATTGGATATAGGGCAATAGTAATGTATATTCCACCAACTATCTCAAATAATATATTAAACACATAAAGTTGTAAATACTTTTTCTGGCTGTTACTATAACAGGAAATAAAAACATTCAGAGCCAGAATTTGGTATTGGGAAGTGTGTGGGTCATATTTGGCTTCTAGATCCATCTATTTCCAAAATTATACTCTTCCCATATGAGTACTTTTAAATGGCTATGCATGCTGCATTTTTCTCCTGTTTGAGGTACCCCTGCATCTCATACTCAGCCCCAGTGAGTTGTCTAATGTATAAAATATTTTAATTTCTAGCCCTTAAATATAGCCTCCCATGTTTAGCTAAAGATTCCATATCCACGTACTGGCAGGTATTGCCCTGCTACCAACTTGGACTACTGTGATAGGTTTTCAACCAGTAACACTGTCGAGAAGAAAGCTCAAACAAATGGATTCTTGGGCCATTTATTTCCTTCCATAGTGGCAAGACCGGAAATGTAGGGATGAATGGATGGAAAGATGGATAAACGAATGAATGACTGGACAAAAACACCTGAAGGACAAAGATTGGGTAACCTAGTCATAAATATTCCTTAGTCCCAGCATAAACCTGAGTCAGCGAAAGTGGTAGGATCTGCACCAGATCGGCCTATATTTCACATTTAACGTTGTTTGTTAATAGTCTTTAAAAAAAAAAAGAGAAAGAAAAAAAAAGAAACATGATTAGGTTTTTTATTTGTTTGTTTGCTTTGTTATCAAGACTCAAGAACCTGCCATTCACAAACATAAGTTAATGCTTCTGAAAAAGAATTGACATTTCCCTCTCTTTGAGGTCTCCCTTGAAATGTGTGTCTCTTAATTCTAATAATTATTCTTGGGAAGAAAATAATGGTATACATTGAGTCCAAATGAGGCAAACTAAAATGCTATGTTCACTGAAAGGTTTTTATAAACTTAAACTTCCAAAGAATCCCAGAAGTTTGGTAGCTCTTACTGAGACAAAGATTTTGTTCTTTTCTTTTTTAATTCAAGAAAAACTGGCAAGGATCCCTGGCAAAACAGATCTGACTCATCTGAGTTATTCATTTGTTCTGTGCTTTTGTGTACGTGTGATTCACCTTCAGGCACAGAATGTGCTGGAGATCTTACTAGACTGATGGTTAAAATTCACAGGCTTTCTCTTGCAATCTCCTTGCCGGGTATAAAAATGTGGAGTGAGAAAGAGCCGTGATGTAAGAACTGGGACTAGTGTCCCTGATGTGCATGAACTCCCAAAGAGAAAAGACCTTAACTAACTGGAGACCCCTGCTATTGTAAACAAAGAAGATAACGGGAGAGGGCTTGGAACGATCAGGGTTATTTAAAAAGTCCATGAACTCTTTAAAAGATACACGTTTAAAGTCCATCTTGATGATTCCTAACGATCTAGATTCTCTGTTCTCTGTTCTGTCAACCCAGAAGATCTTAGAGAGAGACTGACAGATCAGTTTTGAGATGTTTGGAGCTAAGAGAGTTACCACTTTTCTGCATTCTTAGAACTGCCCAACTACTGCCATTCACGCTCCCTTTTTCCTTTGGGATATTGAGTAACAGTGAGTCTGTTGTTCTGATGTCATAGTAAGCATGCTTTGATCTAACAGTGAGCATGTACATCTGATTTCACAGTGAGCACGTAGCTCTGATATCTGTCTCTGACTTTAACAGGGAAATGGGTTTCCCATGCTTCAACACAGTTTCAAGCATAATATAAGCACTTACTAAAGAATGATTGAATGAGTTAGTGAATAAAGATATGGGTTAATTGACATAGTTAAGGATCAGCTTAATGAAGACAAATCATAGTTTACTAGGACATTTTTCAATAGACTATTTTTCAAAGTTGTAAACTATTACAGGGTAATTAGGGAAGCAGGGTGAGGACGCACTATCACCTAGATCTTTCCTAAGTCTACACATCTACTTTAGTTTTGTGGGTAAGAAATTCAAGGTCAGAGGTTGAGTTCTCACTCAGAGGGCTCAGGAGGTCAACAGGAAACTAGTATCTGAATGCTGATCTGAAGGAACCTTAATGGCCCTGTCAAGTTCTTCCTAAGACATTGCTGTAAAAGAGACTGAAACAGAATCTAAGTCAGAGATGGTGAAGACAGGGGCCTAGGGGAGACCGATGAGAACCCAATTTGGTAGAAGGGCATTGAATATAAACTACACCCCTGCAAGCTTAATGTATAAAAAAGACTGTGACCGGACATTCTGGAATGACTCACCAAAGAAAACAAAAAAAAGAAAAAAAATTACAAGTTCAGCTCAGTGTAATTATAAAATGTAATCACTGATCTCCGAAGTATTGTTAAAGATTTGCTGCAGACTTTAAGGCCAGAGTTTCTGCCTAGCGACCAACCATAGAAGGCCACCCCACTCTCCATTAAGATCCTCATTACCCTTTCCATATGGAAAGCTGGCCTCTGCATTGAAATGCATTTAGCTTTCCCTGCTAGCAGGGTACTCAGCAACACTTAATTAATTACGAAAGTTCAGCCTTATTACTTCCTGGAAGAGTTCCAGATTTTAACAGATGAAGTGCCCAGAAATAGTTTAGGACTGAGAGACGGTAGGCAACTCTATTTTGCATCTATGGATCTAAGGGCCCTGCATAATAGTTCCGGATGTAAACTCAGCTATGAAATTACGAGCTCTGTGAGTGTCTGGGGTGTGCTTATTATAGAGACCGTCTCTCTAGGGTCCAGGATCTTATTATGAAAAATGAGGGGCAATTGCTACTACAGTACTTGATTGTTTCAACTTTTAAGTAAAAATGAATAAAGATAGATTCATATGAGTGAAGAAAAGAAAGGGCACCCAATGTCCATGGAATGGGAGACATCCATGGAATTTTTCTCCTTCCACTTGATATACTAGTTCATGGCCAGTGTAATACTAAGTAAAATAATTTGAAGATCAAGAACTTCCAGAACAGCCCCTGTCTGTAAACCCCAGGCAGTCCAAGAAATCCTTGTCTTTAAAAAAAAATCTCCATTTCAAAGAAAGGGGCTGTATTTATACACTGAATTGATTATGTGGTTAGACAGGAAAGAACATCTATGAAATATATATTTTAAGTCATGTGACTGACATGTCTCCCCCATGAATTTCATTAATTCCATCATTTTCTAGGCTGTAGACTGGATAAGGGTCGTTTTCTTCTTCTTCTTTTTTTTTTTTTTTTTGAGACAGCTCAGACTAGCTTATACTTCATGGCTTAGTGTTTACTGTGCCTCCCTAGTCTTTATTCTTTTTAATTACTTTTGTCTCTTTCCAAAATACCTCTTTTAAAATATCAATATTCCTTTTCAATATCATGACACATGTTTCTTCAATCTATTTATCTCTCTTTTTCTTACTGAAGAAAATTGCCAACTGATTCCACTGTTTCCTTGTTTATTTCCTGTTTTTTGTTTGTTTGTTTTTCTATTGAAAGTAAGTTTTGTGGACATATGGATTTAGACTGTGTGTTTATCTACAACTGCCCAGATTCTAGAACATTCTTTTTTTTTATTTTTTATTTTTTTTGAGATAGGGTTTCTCTGTGGCTTTGGAGCCTGTCCTGGAACTAGCTCTGTAGACCAGGCTGGTCTAGAACTAGAACATTCTTGACATATACAGATATATTCTAAGTATTTGTTGCATGAGTCACACACCAAAAGTAAAGCCACCACGGGGAAGAGGGATTTCACTCACCTGTACCACACCTGTGCAGGAATCCAAAAAGATGCATCCTTTGGGTTCTTTGGATATCTTTTCATCTTTGTAAAAGTTCATAATGTAGGAGTTATCTGGCAGCTGAGTCAGCTGGAAGTAGCGCTTTTTGAATGACTAAATAAAAGATAGAAGGAGGGAGTTTGAATTTCATTATTCTGCTACTCATGGGAATGACAAGTCTTCAGGGTCCTTTAGCCGGGCAGTGCTCTAGAGCAGAGACTGACTTCTGTATAAATGAAATATTATAGGAAGTGTGAACACTATGCAAATGGTCCCTCTCCATGCTGTGACCCACGAAGGAATGTGAGGAAAGGGGACAGGGCAGGGATTAGCTTGGATGTGTTCTTACCCGGACAGTGACAGTGTTGTTGACAGTGCTGTTAAAATTCCCCTTGTACAGCCAGCCAGACTTGAACACACCAGTGCCTCCGGCTCCCCCACCGCCCTTGGAAGATGAGTGGGATGTGGTATCCTGCAAAGAAAGCCATCATTAGCATTGCAGTCAGCCTCGTGGAGCCCAGATCTTAGACACTGCACTTAAAAATGAGACTCCTTTTCCCTCTTGACTCATCTACAGTCATCGTGCTCAGTGTCAAAACAAACATGATTCATTTTGTTTAAAAGCCCCAACACAGCCAGCCCCTCCTGCTCGCTGAAAACAGATGGGCGAAGAAGCCAGTGCAGGCAGGAACTAATGGCCCCCATGTTTTAAATTTGTCCCTCAAAACCATCACTTACTTCATCTTTATCAGCGTCTTCATGATCAACCTCAAAGGAATGTGAAGGAAGTTTCTCTGGCTTGTGTTCTGCTCTGATATTTCAAAAAGAAAAAAAAGAAAGTCCAGTTTGTCATTTGACATCTTGCTTTTGTTTTTTTGCTGTTCCCAAGATCACAATGGCTCTACTAACATTGTTTCAATTTTTTATGTTTTGCAACCTTAAAAATCTGGGGGGTTCTTTTTTTCGGAGAAGAGTTAACTTTTCCCTTACACCACTGCATCTTGTCTCTACTAAGTACATATTTTAAATCGTGAAGTTATTATTGACACAAATTTGGACATATCTTTTTGTATTGAAGGATAGCAAAGAGGGCGGATGGAAATCTTAGAGTTTTGTCTTCTCCTGCACTCTGAAGAAGAATATTAAGCAAAGCCACCCTTGTGAGCTTTTCTGGGTCACCTGAATGTGACATGGCCAAGGCTACATGAAGGTTGTCTCAGCAGCCTCAGACTTGGAAGGACTTGATTCCTGGGAGGCAGCCTGTGCTTTGGCCCTCAGGTTGTGTCATGCCCCTGTGGTAGCTCTTCAGAAGGCCACCCAAATGGAACAGTGTCACCTGCACATGTCGTGTGCACCCTTTGGCATCACAGAAGCTGCAGTTTCAGCTGTGGCGTGATGGGGCATCCTAGAGCAGCAAGCGGGCACACCTAGCTTTATATGTACACAGTAAAATAAGTCTGAAGTAAGTTTCCCTTGGCGCAAGTCTGTTTCATAATGAATGGCTGGAAGAAGCCAGACTTTCTACTTCCAGTTTAGACTTTCCTCAAAAGTCAGCCCTCTGCCACCTTGTAAGGCATAAAGTTTCACATGCAGACATTTCATGCACTGTTTTAAGATGGTGCAGTCTGTAGACTCTGAGTCTGACTGTGAGAAAAGAAGACCAGAGGAGAATTAGCTAATCCCATCTAACCTTTTCCTGAGCTGACAGTGTTCTAGAGAGAAACAGAGAGGGCTAAGGGCTTCTATACTTAAGTTCCTTCTATGCCTTTTCAGAGGATGCTTTCATCATCCCTCTAAAGGACATCCCAGTGCCTACTTCCCAGTGCACCATGGGAAGTTACAGCACAGAAGAAAGTTCCATTCATTGTTAAGCATGGAGGAGGGTCATCTATCTATGTGTTACTCCCTTTGGTTAATAAAGAAACTGCCTTGGCTTTTTGATAGGGTAGGATTTAGATAGGTGGAGTAGACAGAACAGAATAATGGGAGAAAGAAAGCATAGTTGGTCAGATGCCATGGAGCCAGCCACCAGGTCAGACATGCTGAATCTTTCCCGGTAAGCCACCACCTCATGGTGCCACACAGATGATTAGAAATGGGTTAATCAAGATGTGAGAATTAGCCAATAAAAGGATGAAACTAATGGGTCATGCAGTGTTTAAATAAATACAGTTTGTGTGTTGTTATTTCGGGGCATAAGCTAGCCAGGAGGCCGGGAGCTGGGCGGCAGGAACGCAGCCCGCAGCTCATCACTACAGCTCGTTTTTTTTTTTAATTTCCACCTCCTCCCCTCCTCCCATTTCCCTCCCCTCTCCCCACTCCCCCTCCAAAGAGCAGTCAGGGTTCCCTGCCCTGTGGGAAGTCCAAGGTCTTCCCCCCTCCATCCAGGTCTAGGAAGGTGAGCATCCAAACAGACTAGGCTCCCACATAGCCAGTACATTCAGTAGAATCAAAACCCAATGCCATAATTCATGATCTTAGAGAAGCTAAATAAGAAGGTGAACCCAAAGAAAAACATATAGTATTCCTCCTGGATATTGGAAGTAGACAAGATTGCCAGGCAAAAGTTGGGAGCACGGGGGTGGTGGTGAGGTGGGGATAAGAGGAGATGGGGAGAGAGAAGGGAGAAGGGGAGGATGGGGAGAGCTTGGGGAAATGGAATGGTTGGGATGGATGAAGGGTGGATATGGGAGCAGGGAAGTAGATATCTTAATTAAGGGAGCCATTTTAGTGTTGGAAAGAGACCTTTTTTTGCTTGTTTGTTTTTGTTTTTTGTTTTTAACAGATTGCCAAGAACTAGGAAATGTTTGCATCCATCACCATTGCCTGTCCCTAGACATTTCTGTCACTGGGTCCTGAGAGGCACTGTGATGAACACAGGACTTGAGCATCAGTCTAAGGACGCAATGTGGAGTCTCCTGTTGTTTTCACTCCAATTTCCTTCTCTATTTTTCTTTGTTTGTAATCTTGGTAAAATCTCAAGACCTACTGATCAGTATTTGTCTTTCTCAACAGTTAGAAGAGTTGTAGAAAGTGTTATTTCAAGACTAACCCCTTGGACTAGGTGATGGTCCAGCAGGAGAGTGCTTGCTGGGCAAGCATGAGGACCTGTGTCCAATCGCTTGCACCAATGTAAAAGCCAGATGTGTCCCTGTGTGACTGGAATCCCAGTACTGATAGGGGTGGGGCAGGAGAGAGGAAGTTCCTAGGAGTTGACCGCCAGTCACTGTGCCTAAAATGGTGAGCTACAGATAATTGAGTGAGACTCTCTCAAACAATTAGGCTAAAAATGATAGAGTAATACACTTAATATTGACCTCACAGAGTCTACACGCTCATACAGAGAAGAATGCACCTGCTGGCACACACCACACACACACACACACACACACACACACACACACACACACATACACATACACACACAGGAGATTATTATCTCCTCTTCAAGTCTGGCACATACTAGGTATTCAAAACATAGCTATTAATAAATATGTATGACTTACATAGTTGCATATATCCAAGTTATTTCTTATCAGAAGCAATAACATAATAATATGACATTCCCCATCCACGGTTTACTGACAAGTTAGAAGATGTTTAAAAACACAGACAGAAGTTTTGCATTCAAGCTTAAATATGTATGGGATATTGTTCTTTGTCTAATCACATGTGTGTATAATCAGACTTTGGCACACAATACTGGAACTCCAGACTTGTCTAATTTTGCTGTTTTACAGAGATAAATTTGTAGACCATAAGTCCCACTTATATAAACACACCAGAGAGATGGGGTTGGAGGATATATCTGTGAAATAATTTTATCAGGAAAGATGATTTCAAATCACCACAGAAAGCATATTAGGAAGAATATAGCCATTAAAAAAATCTTTTTCTTGAAAAGAAATCTTTTTCTTGGTAGAGCTTCAGAGATGCTCCAATTAACCTATGCTCATTGTCACAATGTGTTAACTTGTTCTGCTCCATTTGGTCATGGTCATCTCTCAGGGAAGTCATATCAAGTAGTCTTCACAGTATTAAGTTAGGACCACTGGGAAAGCTTTCCTACCCCATTCCTTTTCTCCATAATAGCACGTGATACTCTGTGAACAAGAAGCAACCCTTTTCACATTTTATTTGATTAACAAGAGAAAGCCTTCGACACAATCTTTTCCTTCTCCCTCTCATGTTATCTGAGTTTCAGGGACAATTTCAAATGGCACGTTTCAGGGCAGTTGCTTGAAATGTTTTATCTGAAATATGTGCATTATGGGATTTTAAAATTGACGATATGGCTCTGAAGGGAAGTGGAGGAAACTTCCATGCTGGCTGATTATACACATATTTTTGTAAATTGTAGAGGGAATTATGTTAAGAGCTATCACCACAAAAACGACGATGCTGTGAAGTGATCCATTTCTTAATCAGCTAGATTTGACTATTCTACAATGCCTCCATAATTCAAAACAACACTTTGCACATGATTGGAAGTTATAATGCTATCTCCTATTACAGAGAATAAAAAACCCTGAAATCCAGGCAGAAAGGGCGTTATTAATCCCATACTACTCTTGTCACTATGGACCAGTGGACGTACAGTGTCAGACCAGTCATTACTATGAGTCACTGGTTCATAGCTTGGCCAGATTTATGATAACGTTTCTCCTTTGGTTGCATGCATATACCGTCCAGCATTATGAATGCCAACGAGCAAGAATGAAGCTTCTATATCAGAATCTTCTTGTTTCTCTGTTTTATGACTCTAATAATTAACATCTTCAGCAATAAGACCTTACCATCAAGTTCTAGAGTATAGTGAGAACAGTGGGAACAGTCTGGACAAGTCTTATAAGACATGCTCGTTAGTACAGCAGTGACATGATTGTTATGGGAGTAATCAGCACCATTTTTTAAATTGAATTTAAGGCCTGATCCTAATGATAGAGCCCATATTGGACACCATTGCTGGGGCCAACAACTTATGGTTTCATAGGTTATAGGCCTTAGAGGATTACCTACTACTATTATTCTGCTAAATGGATTGTATGAGTTGGAGGGTTAAGGGCATCACAAGGGAACCCATACAAACAACTCACCCAGGCTCAGAGGAGTCTAGACTGATAGCTAGGGAGCCTTCACTGGACCGACCTAAGCCTACTCTGTATGTGTGACTGCTGTGTAGCTTGGTCTACTTGTGGAACTCTTAGTAGTGGGATAAGGGACTGTCCTTAACACTTGAGCTGGCATTTGGTAACCTGTTCTCCATACTGGGTTGTTTCACCCAGCCTTAATAGTCCTACCTCAATTTGAAATGCATGCTTTGTTGACACTCATGGGAACCCTGCTCCTTTTTTTTTTTTTTTTTTTCGAGACAGGGTTTCTCTGTGGTTTTGGAGCCTGTCCTGGAACTCGCTCTNTAACATCAAACTCCCCGTAATCCTCCTGCTTCAGCATCCCAAATTCTGTGTTTACAGGTGTGAGCTAAATCTCCTTTTTTATTTTATTTTTGGTTTTTCGAGACAGGGTTTCTCTGTGGTTTTGGAGCCTGTCCTGGAACTCGCTCTGTAGACCAGGCTGGTCTCGAACTCACAGAGATCTGCCTGCCTCTGCCTCCCAAGTGTTGGGATTAAAGGCGTGTGCCACCACCGCCCGGCACCCTGCTCCTTTCTGAACAGAAAGAGAAGAGGAGTAGATGGGGGTAGAGGAGAGGCAGGGGGAGGGAATAGGAGAGGAGGGAGGGGAAATTGCAGTCAGGGTGTAAAATAAATGAACATATTTAATTAATAAAAGAAAAAGATGTATCTCTGTTTATTGTTTTCAAAAATTCAACTTGAAGGAGCATTGGGTCATCTCTAAGGACCTTTGGAATCTCAAGATAAAAGACTGGCCATGGACTTCATATCTTGAGTTTGAACCCAATGTGAGCAATAATTTGGAGGGAATCTTACTTTTCACTTTCTCTTATTGCCCCAGGAAGGCAATGTTTGAGTGCCCTTCAGTCACTATTTATGAACTTGGTGCTCATATTTCCCATGTAAAAATCTAACAATAGTTTCCATTCCATGTAGTTAACATGAAAAAATGTACACATCAAGCTTACATATTCTAACACACTGTAGACAATGAACAAATATTTAACTATTTAAGGTTTTTTTCTCTGCTATATTTGAGACGGACTGGGCTGGCCTTTGTTGAAATAAGAGCGGTGGGGCTGCGTCCCTAACACCCCGGCCGCTTGCTAGCTCATGCCTGAAATAACAACACACAAACTGTATTCATTTAAGAACTGCTTGGCCCATGAACTCTAGCCCTTACAGGCTAATTCTCGCACCTGGACTAGCCCATTCCTAATAATGCGTGTAAGCACCCCAAGGTGCGCTTACCGGGAAGATTCTAGCCTCCGTCCATCCTGGGAGAATGGAACATGGCAAGCATGGCGTCTCTGCTCCAGAGCAGAGCTGTCGAGTCTCTCTGGGAGCAGAACAGAGTCTGACCTTACTTCCTCTTCCGCCCAGCATCCTATCCTGTTTATTCCGCCCACCTATCTTATAACCTATCAGGGCCAGCAGTTTCTTTATTACTCAGCCAATGAAATCAACAGATTGATATAATCAATCTGTTTTGTATAATCATTAAGAAATAATTATACTATGCAATGCTAAAGTATTTATTATTCTGGGACAATCAATCTGCTTTGTATAATTATTATTCAATATTAAAAATTTTCAATATTAAATATTATTCAATATTAAAATATTAAATATTATTCAATATTAAAATATTAAATATTATTCAATATTAAAATATTAAAATTTTGTATATTTATTATTCTGGGACATATACTAGGGGATTCTACTTTAGAACTTATGATAGAATGTGTTTTATATGGCAAACTTTCCTATTCTCAATATCTTAATACTCTTAATATAGCTAACATGCATGAAATTATTAACAACCTTTCTGTTATGTTCTCTTACCATATTGGAGACGTGTCTATGCAAAATATTAAAATCTAATTCAGTAACTACGCCCAGAATCTCTTCTTAGTGGACATGCTTTCTGTATCCTTTAACAAAGGAAAAACTCTATGAACCTAAAATACTATATTTACTTCTTTTATGGCATCATGTTTACAATAACAGTATTTGGTAGTTAAAGTGACTTGAAGTGCTCTACATATCTAAGAGAGTAGAAACATTTTCACTCAAAGGGTAGGGGTCAAGGGAGATCATTCACCAGGCAAAGAAATTGCTCCACAAGCGTAAGAATTGGAATTTGGATCCCAAGCATTCTTGGAAGTGCTGGGTGGTAGCCCACCTGCACCTTCAGAACTCAGACATTGGGGGCAGCCTTAGAGCAAGATGGCTAGGGAGGCTGGCCACATTGGCAAACTCTAGATCAACTGAGACACCTTTGCTATGAATAAAGAAAAGCAAGGGCAACTCCCAACACCAGCTTCAGTTGCATTAGATGCACACAAACATGCATGAGCACCACACAGACAACACGCAAAAATAATGAATGAGAGTTGGAATGTGGCTGCCTAGGTCCTGTTTCTCAAGCACTGAGAGAGCTTCCAAGTTGTGACTATTCTCAGATCTGTTTTTATAAAGAGGAGCATAGATATTAGAAAACAATCTGATTGTCAATTGCATCTACAGGATGCATGTGACTAACACCCAGACATCTTGAATGCCATCATCACTTGAGATGTGTGACAGGACTTTCCCAAGGTGACCCAGGGTTTGACAGGAATTTCCCAAGAAGTTCCAAGAGATTATTATTAAGGAGTCCTGAGTTCTTTCAAAATGTTTAGAAATCTATAGGAGTTAAGGCACGGGCTTTCTTTTTTTCTTTTTTTTTTAATTGAGAATAGGAAAAAAAAAAGTTTCCGCCTCCTCCCAGCCTCCCATTTCCCTTCCCCCCCCCCCACTCTTCTCCCCCTCCCCCCACTCCTCTCCCCTCCCCCCACTCCTCTCCCCCTCCCTCTCCAATCCAATGGAAAAAAAAAGACTTCCTGTTTTGGAGAACCTTTTGGCTTGCTCTTCACAGTGAGACAACTCCTGAAAAAGAAAACAACTTCCTCCTTTCCCTTCTATGCCACTCCTCCAAATGTAGGCCAAATGATTTCTAAAAGACATTACACCCTTGCGGACATCCCTCAAGATTTCTCTTGCAGCGAGAATAAAATCTACTCTTCCCTCTAGGGTTCCCAAGGCTCTTGGATTCTTGTTGCTATCCTCACACTATAGCCCCCCAGACTCCTCATTCTGCTCAAGTGATCAGACCAATTTTGGTCTCAGGGCCTTTGATCTTGTCCCCCTTCCACTGCATTGCACTCCCAGAACCCTTTTTTGTTTTTTGTTTTTTTTTTTTTTTTTCCCTGAGATTGCAGCACTGATGGCTACAGTCCCATGAGCTACAGTTCAATGTCACCTTCTGAGAGCCATATAATAATTCCCATTTAGAGTCCTAGTTCGGAAAAATCTTCCTGACTGGGGACAGAAAATATTGCCAAGTAGAGCTGAATTTTGTGCCATGGACAAATAAAACAAAATTTGATTCAGTGTGCATCACTTATGGAGAGTATAAGTAGACGCCGAACTTTTGAACTTTTGATATTTTTTCTTATTTTTTTTCTTGAAGTATTTGAATCTTTGTATCATGTTTATTTGATGAACCAAATGAGTTGAGAGGTACTTGTTGAAAGCATTTCTCTTTTTTAAATTTTCAGCATCTCCATCCCCATTTGGGAATGTTCAAAAATAAAAATTTCCACATTATTATGTGCCAGGAATTGTCCTGAAGGGATTCAGCAGGGAATTCCCTGCCCTTTGAAGGACTTTATTCAGTAGGGGGATCAACAAATAAATGCTCACTGTAGTTCAGTGATCAGGTGGGTCTCTGTGGAGTGACGCTTGAGGAGAGCAGAACAAAGTGACCTTCCTGAAGGCTTTAGGGTCCCAAATGTCAGGGGGAAGTTACACACCGAGTTTCTGTTTTGCTCTGTTTTTAGATCTATGCCCTTCTGTAGAATTCATTTGCATGCTTTTTGAAATCTCTCAGTGAATGTACATAAAGCAGGCTGTGAATCAAAATGCTGTTTGGAATCTGGTGAGAAATTCTCTGCACCATGTTTGCCTTTCCCGGTGCCACTGTTGAAACAACAGTTCATCGATGGATGATTCAGGGATGAGCAAATGCTCAAACTGCAGCTAGCAGCAAATTAGAGAAGACCGAGTCTCCTTCCAAACTCTTATTATAACAACATAACTATTATGTTTTTGATCAAAATGTTCTCTATCTTGACGCATAAATTTCTCAAAATTTACCTCGACGCAAAATAAACACACTTGTGTTCATAAACAGTGTTCGAGCTTGCAAAGAGGTGACTTTTAAATATATGCAAAAAAAGCCCACGTAGTTTTTTATAATAAACAGATGACGCATTCGTAATTACCGGGGTAGCTGTCGAATGTCTCCCGAATACTGTTCGTATTTGTAGTTTACCACATACCACTGGGAACTGTAGAATTTACAAGCCTGAAAGAAACCAAAAAGACAGTTATAAAACGTGCCATTAATGTTTTCATGATGAAAAATGTTTTCATGATCACAGGCGGGCACGGAGGTTGCCACGTTAGCCACTTCAAGGTAGATGAGAGTCCTGTTCTTCCTAATCGTCAGACTTCCTCCAGTGTCATGGAACTCTCTCCAGACTCCTGGAGGAGGAACTGTTTAACACAGCTATTCTGGTTCACATCACCACCGGAATCACTATCGAATCCGAGCCCATGGGTGGCTCTCCAGGAGAAGCATTGTTCGTGTCCTTTCCTTGTCTTCTTGCCCTTCATCTGATGGTTCGGGTCATGAAGGATAGTTTTATTTGTGTCCAGTCCTGTCATGATTTTAGCCTCTGCTTTAGTAACTGAACTACCTTTTCTTCAGCTTCTCTACTATTACCGCCCTTGTTGGCTCAGCCAGGAGCTGGCTTTTCAGCTTTATCTCAAAACTTTGCCATGATTATTCAAAGTTTTACGGAATGTTAATAAAGGATCACTGAGAATTATGTTGAGAACGAAGCTAGCGAATTGTGGGATGATTGATGTTGTGGGATATTTTGTTTGCGCTCCGACTCTCCCAAGACTGACAATAAAGTTTACTTTGAATCAGAGGGCGGAGCTAGCTACAAGTTGACCAAAAATAGTCATAGAGGTTTTGGAGGACCAAGGACACATAGAGAGACAGAGAAAGTAGTAGAGAGGAGTGTAGAAAGATTCTTGGCCTTTTGGATCGAGGAAGGAGAGAAAAAGGAGGTCACTGGTTCTTTCTTGGCTGCTTTTCTGATCATTCAGGTTCTTTCCCAGATAGCTGATTCCCGAATTTTTATTAACAAAGAATAATCAAATAAATGCTTCAGATTGATTTTTATACTATTTATATTTGTGTGTTGTGTGCATATATGCACGTGTGTTGTGTGCATATATGCACATGCGTGCATGAGCATATGGAGGCCAGATGTATATTTGGATGCCGCCATTCTCCACCTTTTCTTTTGAGGCAGGGGCTACTGAACCTGGAGCTCACTAATTAGTGAACTTCAAGGATCTTCTGGGTTTTTTTTTTTTGCCTGGCATTACCCACAGTTTTATGATTATGGATGCACCCCACTAGGCCTAGAATTTTGTATAGTTACTGAAGACATGAAATCAAGCCACACTACTTGTGGGGCAGACACTCTACTGACTGTGTTATCATCATATCTCTTGATTTATACTACTTATGGACATAAAATATTTTCCAAGCACCTACCTACCTACCATGTAGTTTATTGTAATAACCATGGATTTGCAATAGAGATTTCACTATGTCAAACTAGACCTTAATAGCCCTTCAACTCTAAAATGACATGATACTGAGAATTATTTAGCTGTCTACAGAATTACAAATAGACCATGACTTCTCATACTTATGGAGAAAAATTAAGGCACCATGAATTTATTGACCTTTAGGGAATAATGGCCTGTGAGGCTCTCTTTGTAAGCAAGGCTAAGACAGACAGACAGACATTACACAGTTCTGCCAACAGGAACGCGAGAGCACGGCTTCTGTAGAGTTAGATGGAAGCAGGGCATAGTCCACTGCAGACACGGGAGCAGGAAAAGTAAGGGAATAGGGTGGAAAAAACCACAACTCCAGGAATTCAGACTCTTTGACTGGGCTTTCTGTGGGTCTCTCTGTTTCTTGTCTGAATCTTTGACAGCGTTGCTTAAAATGAAACCTTTTAGGCAAGGAGCCTATTAAGAGGTCCAAGGCAGGGAACATCAGATGTACAGCAGAGGCAAGTCTGGGGACCTTATCACTTCTAGATTTCCCTGGTCCTGATTTCTCTCAGCCCTGTCACTTTATTTATTCAGGGATGTGCCCACGCACAGACTGGCAACCGAGGACAAAGCAAGTGAGACGGGGACAAAGGCAGGAGTGGGAGGCTGGCAGTGTGCACACAGGACCACTGAGAGCAGAGGCCAGCAAGAGAGAAGGAAAGGGGAAGGCGATTGGTGGGTACTCAATTTCAGTTAGTTAGAAGTAAATACTTTTTGCATGTCTTGACACAGGAGGGCGACCATTCATAACTCTATGTACTGCAATTTCCAGAAGCTAGGGAAAGAATTTTCAGCGTTTTCACAAAACACAGACAAGACTTTGAGGCGACAGATGCCGACTCAGCTCTGAAAGTTACGTAACATTTACATATAACATCATATTATTTCATAAATACGCATGCTTTGTTTTTATATGCCAGGCTTTTGATTTTAAGAAAAATTTGCTTACTATTTGTGTATGTGTGTGTGCATGCACGTGTGTGTGACTCAGTGTGTGCGCAGACATGCATGTGTGCTCCAGCATGCCTGTGGAGGTTAGAGGATAGTTGTTGGGAGTCGGTTCTTTCCTTCTACCTCAGTGAGGCAGGGCCTCTCTTATTTCTTGGCATACATCAGACTAACTGGGTTTGGAGCTTCTGAATGATTCTCCTGTCTCTACATTCCATCTTTCCATCTTGCCTCAGGAATGCTATGGTTATAGATAGCCACAACTACATTTGGTTTATTTGTATTTTGTTTTTACTATGGGCTCTGGGACTCAAACACAGATTGTGTGGCAAGTGCTTCTATCCATTAGGGCAATTCCAGAGCCATCTTTGCCGGTTTTTAAAGGTAAATGAATAGATAAAAATGGCAAGTATTAGTCCTCATCATAGAAAGCTCTTTGTGAATCCTTTCGATGTTCTTCGTGAATCTTTTGCACATTTTTTGGACATCAGTTAACAAAGACATTTACAGCTGGTCAAAGTGCAGAGTGTTTGTAAAGGAGACCTGGGTCATACCCTCTCCACTCAAACTCAGAGACTTCAGAGGAGGGGCAGGAAGACTCAGAGATCAAGGAGGACTCTAAGACCCGGAGGTCAAGGAACACTCTAAGACTCAGAAGTCAAGGAGGACTGAACTAATCCGGGTCCTCTGGGCATGATAGGATCCCTGTCTCTGTAAACCCACAGCAGGTGGTTTGAGTCTCCACTCAAACTCTGAGACCTCGGAGGAGGGGCAGGAAGACTCAGAGATCAAGGAGGACTCTAAGACCCAGAGGTCAAGGAGGACTGAACTAATCCGGGTCCTCTGGGCATGATAGGATCTCTGTTTCTGTAAACCCACAGCAGCTGTGTTCACTTGCACCATTCCTGGTCAAGATCAAGCCAGTCAATATTCTAGTGCGGAGCTGCATGAGCATTCATAGCTAGCTGAGGGGTTGACAGTTAATGATTCCTGTGGAAAGGAACGTCAGGTTTTGTAAGGGTGTGGACCCTGGTAGGCCCTTGGGACCTCGGTGGGTGGCCTCACCCGTGAGTATGCTGGACTTGGTGGGGTATGATAAAAGAAATAAAAGAGGGTACAAAGTTGGGAGCATGGCAGGGTGAGTCTGGGAGGAGTGATTATGATAAGGATGCATTGTGTGTATGTAGGAAAAATGTATTTTAGAAGAAAAACATCATCCTTTTCTCCTTCTCTAAACAGCACTCCAGTAAGACAGGTGAACATGGAACAGAAAAGAATTGAATGAGGTCTAAAGAACTTGAATGAATGGGTTTGAACAAAACTATGTACTTAACTAACATTCAACACAGACTTGCCATTCCTAGAGCCACATTTGCAAAGTGAAGAAAACTGCAGAGGAAGAAAACCAAGCCTTAATAGGCCCCTTGGCTAAAATGTCTTTCTTCGACTTAGACAAAAATGCCAAATATTCAGACAAGGAGCAACAGGGCCAAGAGTGTGCTGAGCCAGAATGTCAGCATCCCAGGGCGCTGGTCATTTCTCCCTTACTGTCTTGGTTTCCTCTCCTGTGGCCATTTTCCCGTGGAACAGAATGTGTTTAAGATACCTTTATTTTTAGATTATGCGTATGGGTGTTTTGCCTGCCCGATTATGTGTATATCATATATGTGCCTGGTGCTGTTGAAGGCCCAAGAGGATATCAGAATTGTCTGGAACTAGGATGCCAGAGGGTTGTGAGCTGTCATGTGTGTCATGGGAGCAAAACTTTGGTCCTCTGCAAGAGCTGTCAGCACTCTTCAGAACCGAGTCATTTCTACAAGCCTCACAATGTGCTTTCAAATGGAAAATAAAAGCGTGACGCCCACTCCTTGTCTCCATTCCTCTAGAACATGTTTTATTTCGTTCTAGTCCCGTTTGCCTAGTTTGTTTCTAGATTTAAATTTGTATATGTTTATTATTTTTATTCAGTTAGTATGTTTTAAGAATCTTTACATTTGATTTCTATTTTACTTTCTTTTTCTTTCTTTTATTACTCCAATTTTTTTGGTGTTATGAGGGGTTGAACCCAGGGCCTTTGAACATATTAGGCAACTGTAATATCACACAACTATATCTGTAGACCTACTTACATTTGTTTTCTAAATTTGACTTCTAAAAGAATGAAACATCATACCATAATTCACTAACCTAAACCCCCTAGATTTGAAGATTTTTCATTCAGTAATTCATTTATCAATTACCATTAAATCCTGATCTAACCCAGAAGTGATTCTAGAATTTCACAGTGACTAAGAGGGGGGTAAAAAACTATGTCTTCTTGAGGTCACTGAAAAGCTGGTCAATAAAGGCAAAACTGAAAGATTATGTTTGTGTTCGAGGATGGAAATACTGTAAAAAGAACTCAGTAGAGGAAGGGGATGGGAGATGGGATTTAAATAGGGTGAATCTTACAGAGAAGGTGATGAGAGTCTGGACTTAAAGGAGGGAAAAATAGCATTTTAATGATCACTTCAAATCTGGTGCCATTTTGGAAAAAGACTCTCTCAGCATACACCTTCCTCTCCAAGGCCTCTTACCTTTCCTCTGAGCACAGCCCGTTTTAGAACAGAATTCTCATAGTAGTTCAGATATTGTCTCATTTCTAAAGAATTTGCCAATGAACTTGGTCAAATAGTTTGACTTATTAGGATCTCAGATTCAGCTTCTGACCGC